ACCGTTTTCCTCAATGTAGATTTGGATAAAAGGTCTATATGGATCAACCTCGAGGTTTTGAGACCACAAGTGAAGAAAATTTGGTGTGCAAGTTGAAGAAATCAATCAACGGATTTAAAAAAGTTTCCCGACAATGGTACTTGAAGTTTAATGATACCATATTGTCATACGGGTTTGTAGAAATAACCGTTGATCGGTGTATCTACATAAAGGTTGTGGGAAACAATTTTATAATCCTTGTGTTGTATGTAGATACTATTCTTCTCGTCGCTAGTAATCGTGGGTTATTACATGATGTTAAAAATGATCTTTCTAATAACTTTGAGATGAAAGACTTGGGTGAGGCTTCTTATGTGATCGGAATAGAAATATTTCGAGATAGGTCTCAAGGAATTTTAGGATTGTCTCAAAAGGCTTACATCGACAAAGTCTTAATAAGATTTAAGATAGTATCATGTACGCCTAGCCCGGTTCCTATCCAAAAATAAGACAATTTCAGTTTATCTCAATGCCCTAAAAGTGAAATGAAGCATAAAAAAAAAGGATGATATCCATTAGACTTCTTTAGTTGGGAGTTTGATGTATGCTCAGACTTGTAGTAGACTAGATATAAGTTTTGTGGTGGGCATTTTAGGTCGTTATCAATCAAATCCCGGATTTTTTCATTGAAGAGCTGCAAAGAAGGTTTTAAGATACCTGCAAGACACTAAGGATCACATGCTCACATATAAAAAAAAAATTAATAACCTTGAGGTTGTTGGTTACTCATACTCAGACTACGCCGAATGTAAGGACTCCCGAAAGTCAACACTTGGCTATTTATTTGTTCTAGCTAATGAAGTTGTTTCATGAAAAAATGGTAAGCAGTCTATCATTGCTACTTCCATTATGGAGGTTGAATTTTTAGAATGCTTTGAAACTACAGTTCAATCGTCGTGAGTGCGCAATTTTGTTGACGGTTTAAGCATCATTGGTTCTATTGTTAAACCAATGAAGATTTATTGTGATAATATGGTAACTATTTTCTTCTCTAAGAATGATAGATACTCCAAGGGTTCCAAACACATGGATTTAAATTATAGTTAAAGAAGAGGTGCAAAATCAAAGAGTTCAAATTGTGCACATTGGCACCAATGAAATGATTATGGATCCGTTGACTAAATGACTAGCTCCCAAAACATTTATTGTGCCATGTTAGTAAAATAAGAGTAATTGCAAAGTCTTTGTATATCAGATGATTAGTCAAACATGTATGAGTTTATGTCTTGCACATTCATGTTTATTTGAAATTCTATATATCAATGTTTGTTTGAATTTTGCTTGTCTATGAGTCATATTTCAACTATGCATATTTTGTTATAACTATAGATGTTTGTTCTTATGTATAAGATGTTTTGGGATAAAATACTTTCAGAATTTTACCTTATCAAAATGTGGTTGTTTGAATTGAATTGACATGTGATACATAGAAGGAATCGGGACGTTTGTTAGGCTTGTGGCTGCTATGATTCGGTCGGTTTAGTTCATTTGAAATTATGGCTTATATATCATATTATTTAAATGAGCTCAAAATTTAGAAATGTGTTATATACTTGTCATATATGAATCAAGTGGGAGAATGTTAGAGATTTTACTCAATTTCTCATTTTGATTCATATATTTTTTTAATTAATTGGTAATTACTATTTGGTACATACGGTGATGATTAATATTATATTTAAAAAGTAATTATTTGGTGTAAATCCCTCCGTCCTGTGCCGAACAAAATTAAAGTTATAAGGACAATTTTATATAGGGTAAACTGTTTTAGTTTCATAACTAGACCTCCTTTTCATTTTAGTCTCGTAAGTGGAGCCTGTCACAAACTAGTCCCATAAGTGAAAAATTTTTGCTATTTTAGTCCTCCGACGCCGAAGACGCTCGCGTAGCTCACCGAAAGCCACGTGTCCGTCAGGTGTCCCTCCAGGTTAGCGACACCTGGCGGACACGTGAATTTTATTTTATTTTATTTTTTAATTTTTTAATTTTTTTTTCAATTGGATTAAATAAAAAAAATAAAAATAAACAAATAAAATTAAAAATAAATTTTAAATAAAATTTTTTAAAAATGAAAAAATAATAATAAAATCCACGTGTCCGCCAGGTGTCGCTGACCTGGCGGACACGTAGCCTCCGGCGAGCCACGCAGGCATCTCCGGTGCCAGAGGACTAAAATATAGAAAAATTTCACTTATGGGACTAGTTTGCGACAGGTTCCACTTACGTAATTAAAATGACAAGAGAGTCCAGTTATGGGGCTAAAAAAAACAGTTTACCCTTTTATTTATTGGTTTTAGTTCAGGTACTAATATGCAATTAATTAATAGCATATTAATAACAGAATGGCAGATTCCTTTAAAAAAAACTGTATATATATCCCCTTTCTGAGATTTTTTTAAGCTCCGCATTCTATTATAAAAACCAATCAAAAATTGTCTAGCATTGATATCATCACAAGGTGCTTTAAGGTAGAGGGATTGGAAAACAACATTATCGTCATTCTTTTCTTGTTCATGGATTCTGCAGGTAAGCTCTATTCTACATATGAGTAAGTTTTGTTATACATAAGAATATATATGTATTTTTAATCTTGATATGACTAATTTAATTTTCTATTAGCATCTTGCGTTCTAATCGCTTCCGCTCTTTAAGTTCAACTTTCAATAAACTCAACTAGTATAAGGACTTTTGGAAGAAGTCCAAAGATAAATTTATACTCAACTCAAAGTAGACAATATCATACTATTGTTGAATTGACACAGTCCCAACAGTTCCTTCTTGTGGGTTTGGCTTCATTAAAATTTGAAAAACAACTTTTGCTAGATTTGAGATGGTGATTGCGATGCACTTCAAGAATTGTGGAATTTGATGTAATCCATTTGTATGGATTGAGTTTTTGGTCATCAAGGCGAGTGCCTATTAGCAAGTCGGTTAGAAAGAGTGTTCAATCTGCGATAAATGTAAATTATCCACTGTCTAAGCAACGACTTGGATGAATTGCAATTGTCTAGGTACATGACCAAGGTTCTAAGGGGTGATGATAACTGATTCAACGAGAATCGGGTTTATTTCCTTTGATTCAACAACTAATAATAACACCGGTGCTAAAAAATCATTAAAATGTTAGTATTCTCTCCCTTTGGGCTAATTTTCAAACAAAGTGACGCGTAGTATATTTTCTTGTTTTTTGATGAATTGTAGGCAAATTTTAGTAAAAATAATTAAGAAATATCTCTATCTAATCCTATCTAAACCATCTTAGTAAAATACTTTACCTTTAAAATGTTATTCGTCAGTGAGTAAATAAAGAAAAATATTCACATTTCAGTTAAGTAGTCTCAATCACTACCCGTTGGCTAGATTTGGTTACTTTATTGGCTTATTGTTATTGCGACTTTCTTATTCTTGATCATTCTGAACAATGGATTGTAACTCACTAATCATTTTTACCGATGTTTTCCGACAATTAGGATGCAACGAGCATCTCTTATCCAAGTATTATAATTATATATTATTTTGTTGTTCATTTTTTCATATTTGACAATCGTAAAAAAATAAAAGAAAATTTTCTATTTATGTAGTTTAAACTTAGTAAAAATCCCTGACATTCGGTATAAATGTAAAAAAAAAAAAAAAAAAAAACAAAAGTACGGATATGTTATTGAAACTTTTCATATGTCAATCTGTACAAATTTTTTTTTTTTTTTTTTTCAAAATAGATTTCCGAATATATATTTTTATTATTATGTATTTTCAATATATATTTTTTATTATTATGTAGTATTAGCTAACACTTCATTACCTACAAATATTGTTTATAAACAATTAAACAATTGTCATGTTGTTGCTGTTATCAATAGTATTATTTGAGTATATAAATAGGTATGATATGTTAAATGAAGTCTCAACACTATTTGTTTTTAAGACTGTCACAATAGTTTGTTCATTTACTATTTTTAGATGCAACGATTTGTTATAAAATATTGTTAAAAATATATAATATGTATTTTATACATTTACAAAAAAAATCAACAATTCAATATAAATATATTTTTTATATTACTAACAAAATTCTCCATACATAATATAAAAAACACATCGAGCAGTGGTTATTACGACTCTGTTCATCCAATCCAATTTGTGGATTGTCATTCCCAAAAAATAATATTAAAAAATATAAATTACTTTATATAATAGTAAAAAGTGTGAGATATTTAATTTAAAATAATATTCTCCCTCGTCCACAAATTAACGTCCTACTTTTTTATTTGAAATGTCCAACAATTATTGTCTTCTTTTTATTTTTATACACAAAATTTACTCTTTTTTACTCTTACTCTATTTACTCTTTCATTTTCTATACGCAAGATTAAAGACAAATTTGTCATTTTATAACAAAAACTCTAATTACCTAAAAATACATGTAAATATCAAATATGACATTAGAAAATAAACGGAGGGTGTATTTTATATTTTCAATACAATTATCCGTACCTTAAACCAAAAGTCAAATCATAAAAATGCTTATTCCTATGCTACTTAAAAAGTAAAATAAAATAATCATCTAACCTTAGCAGATTTTATTATTCTTTCTTTTCCTTCTCTCCTTAGATCCTTTCAGCCTCGAAGATTATTACTCTATCCGTCCGTCCAGCTAGAAAGTATGCATATTTTTATTTTGGAACGTCCAATTACATAATAAACATTTATTAAATACCTAATTTTTTACTTCAAATACCTCTGCTTTGCATCATATCATTACTTTTAGTAGCAAAGGCAAAAATATCATTACATTACTTTTAACTACCCACTATAATTAAAATATTATTATTTCTTAGACACCGTTGTATACTTTATGTGTGACCGGAGGTACTATTATTTTTATTTTTTTTTTCATAAGAATACAATTGAATCTATTTTAAGAATAAGTAGAAACTAAAAATAGAAACCGAAATCAAGCACAGAAGCAAATGTCTACGTAATCTGAAATTTTGAAGCATGGGCAATTTCTCACCAAGTTCATAGAATCTAACAAAGGTATCCATTACTAATCATAGTAAATTGATCTTCCATAAATAAAATAAAAATACAAAAAAGATATGGATCATATATATAGTTCAAAATACCTCCCAACCGAGGTCGAGTTTCGATTTCGCGCTAAAATCTTGCGGGCGTGCTGAAGAAGAATCAAGGTCGATGCCCGCTGCCGGAAAAGAAAACAATTGGAGCACTTCCACAAGAGCTCCAAAAGTAGAGAGATCGTCGAAGTATATCTTCTTTTTATTGAATCCTTCCTTCTTCTCACTCAAGGAGTTTTATTGAACATTCAAGTTGCAGAAAAATTCCAAAGACAGCGCAAATGTGGTGAGGTGAGGTGAGGATGGAGTCGAACAGATTTTCTGGAAGTTATACCTCAAATACGAAAATGGGATACAATAAAAGAACGTGTCCTTGTGCTTGCCTGCATCGATGCTACCTCTGGCTTTTGAGCCTCTTAATAGCCATGAAAGTTACGGCAGCAGACAATGAGTACCTGCAAAATGCTTAAATATTAGCTCATCTCCATTAACTAAATGCGGAGTTTTATAAAAAAAAAAAAAAAAAAAAAAAAATCGAATTAGCCATGGTGCAATCCCAAGTAACAGGCTTGAATGGTATCAAACGGCGTATTTCAGGTAAAGAGAGAATGCCATTATGCTGTTAGCTAAAGAAAAAAATGCAGAAATCTTATATGAGGCGCCGGATAGTACAAGCTAACAGGAATCGATGGCCTAGAAATTCTAATCGAGGAATCAACATATTGAAATACAAAAACACTTTATAGTAACACAAAAATCGCATCAATTTACGGGACTTGATCATGTACCAATAAACAAGACAACAGTAGAAAGCATGGCCCTTAATGTATAGCGAAAGAATCAAGCTAAAGGGAACGATGATTAATTTCTATGTGATCGGAAGGATATAGATGAAACCACAAAATACCGTTTAATAAGAAAAATAACAGACAAAACGTAATCAAGCTAATGAAGTAGAAGCGTCAAAATGAAACAATCTATGAAGAAATAATTACCATGTTATTGTGTAGTTGAGATGGTCCTGTGGCATTACTGAACTGCGGATTAACGTACTAACATCCTTTGGGATAGGGTAAGGGTTACTTGGGTTAATTTTGTCATTTATATCTTCAATGTATAGTGTTTTCTCTGGGAGGCCACACGCACGAGCTATGGCCGGAACATCAACATAAAACCACTGAGCCGCATCAGGATCGTTTGCTGGAACAAATATACTGGGCTTCTCGCTGTCCCGTATAACTCCAGTAACTTCAACAGCATCGACAGACGGATGGTGATGCTGTCAGATTAAATGAAATGCAATGTAGTTTCATTATGGAGTAACTGAATTTATATTTACGACAAAAAGAAGGAACAACATTTTGATTTTAACCTCAAGAGTTTCTTCCTTACTCGACCAAAAGCGCCACCAAGATTTTCTGGGGCTCTCGTCAGTCCCTTGAGTGGAAATGGATAAGCTACTAGATGATGGTTTCTCTTCTGAAGCATCTAGTGCCTTATCTCTCCAACTCCGTGGGACCCACCCCCTATTGACTAGCACAGGCGATCCGACACTGCGAAAATTCAGCAACTAATCAGTTGAAAAGCATAAATGGAATCCTCAGTTTACATTGCACAACTGATATATATTTCCATTAGAAAATTTTGTAGGACGAAAAAATGTTTTATCATAGCGTCTCCTTTATTGTTGACGAAACTAGCTGAGTGCCAAAAAGAATTTGGATTTTCATAGTTTTGTCTCTTTTCCAAGCACGAATGCATTATCTAGCATTGCATGACTGTCTGACTTACAAGCTTAATCATATTATATATATGTCCACATTTAGACCCTAACCAAAGTTCTTTTTTCTGTTAAAGCTTTAAACATGAAACATCTTTTATTACAGGTGACGGTGGAAATGAGAACACAGAAGCTTTTTCTCTGAAACCATGGCCACATCTACGTAACAGCTTAAGTTGTCAAGATTGATCAATTAGTAAATATCTGTATTTGCAGTACTAACCACATTCCATCAGTAAACAGTCTATGGCCCATAATTATCTCCTAAATCAATGATCGAAAATTCATATATATAATGTTTGGCAATAACAAAAAAAAGCTAGCAAAGAAATTGCCCCTAACAGGTTGTGTTAGGTTCTCTCACTACGCAAATAATGACAATGGTAGCACTGTGTATGGTAATGATGATAGAAATTTTCGCCAAAAAATAATTGAAATGTTCAGTAAAAAAGTGTCGCAATAATAAATACTTACATTAAGCACAATAGCACAGATCTAATAATAAGCATACCTTTTGGGATCATCAAGGACTGGAACGAGGGGTGTTATAAGGTAGTATCCATTTTCAGTCACCCCAGAAATGCTCCTCGACCGAGGGCCTATATAAATTGACTTCTTCTCGTCAAAAACTCCTCTGCATTGGACTCTTCTAAATTTCAGGCTATCCAAACTTCCACTTGCAGGCCCAATTTCATTCCCCTTAAGCGGTTCGTCTCTTAGCCTACTTTGCTGGTACTCCAACTTTTTTATCTATAAGATATACCAAAAATAGTTAACTAAATAAAATAGAGAAAACTCTACTGTAAGCCTTGTAATTCAGCTGAAAGGAAGATATTGCAAACTCTTGTGCCTCTTATTCTTCCAAAAATCAGTCCAAAGAAGTTAATAGTTTCGCCATTGCAGAATACCGCCAAAATAGCAATTTTGAACAAGACATCAAGAATATCGATTAGGAAACAATGGACTACAATAAACATTAGAAAATTTGATTTGCAAATCTCTCGTTTAGGCTTTTAGGCACCCTGTATTGAATTAATATCACGACCAAAGCATTGCAGCATCTCAAATGATTATATCCATTCGTCTAGTTTTATTACGTGAAGTCTAATAACATTTTACATTTGTCCACTGCCATTCCTAGATATCACTCTTGGAACTACACACTGCAAAGCTAACACATATTGGCACGAAACAAGATATACAACTACGGCAGGAATCAACTCTTTGCACCAAGTTTGATACATTTTACACCATAGTACACTCTATTTCCAAACGATGTCGTCATTTTCGTTGCATATAAATTCGCAAATTCCAATCAGTTGTTTATTATTACATCTACTTATAGTCAGAATTTAAAATCCATATACATAACCATTCTTCCTCACATTAAAGATTATATACTCTGGTAAATTATTACAATTCAAACATCCTATCCTATAATACAAGTGCTTATACATTTCAAAATGGCAATCAAATCATATATATATATATATATATTGAAATCAACAAATATACAAAGTTAATTCTGTTACATACTAAAACTCAAAGTAATAAAAAGGGAACCTTTTCTTGTCTTCGAATGATTTGCCAAGTGCCAAGGCCAAATGTGATGGCTCCTGGTACGAACAACAACAGCTTTGACCATGTCGATCTCTGTCGTCTATCTGAAATCCGTACATATATATATCAAAGCACAATTCCGTAAAAGGGAAAAACAATAGATCATTTCTACGGAATAACGAGAAAAGAAAAAGAAGATAAATTCCTGTTTCTTCATACAATATCATTGAGAAAGTATTAACCAGAAAGGGTGGAGTGTCGGAACGCCAAACCAGAAAAGAAAAGACGCATAACCTTGTTGCTGAGGTTCGGCAGACGCGGCAGGAGCAGAGGTGGAAATGAGAGAAGATTTCTGGAGAAGGTTGGCAGGGATCGGAAGAGCCGGCCGGCGCCGGAGATTCTGAGTTAGGGTTTTAGAGAGGGACATGGTGGTTTGTACGGCGGAGATGACATCAAGAACGGCGTCGTATCGAGAGGGTTTTGCTTCCACTTTTAAGGCTTTTATTTTCTTTTCTCAAATAAATATTAGGGGGAAAAATGTTATTTGTCTCGAGTCTCAATTGTATACTTTTCATCGATTTTTTTTTTCTTCAAAAATAACAAATTAAATATTTATTTTTTATACTTTTATATTATACTACCTCCGTCCGATAACAAAGTATCATTTTAGTCCATTACAAGTATCAATTTTTTTAGTAATTATATTATTTACTTAACATTAAAAATACCCTTACAATTTACAATATATTACACAAATATCATTACATTTATATCACACATATTAACAAGGTTATTTTAGTCGTTTCTACTTTGTTCCTATTATAACTCAATATAATACTAATATTTCTAAAACTACGTGAAAAAAACAAATGGATACTTTTTTTGAGACGGAGGGAGTATTAAAAATTAACCCAACTACCAAACAAACACATCCTAAATTAACAAATTTTATTATAGGCTGTTTGGTTCAAGGACTTTTCTGATGTGATTGGAATTTTGCTAGTAGGATTTATATGTGATAGGATTTACTGTATATCATGTGTTTTGTTGGGGGTGTTTGGTTTAAGGATTTTAATTTTTGATATTTTAAATGATGTAATTATCCTTTCACGAATTTTATTTATTGTGATAAATTAAACTTTACATCCATTTTTTTTTTCGTAAACTTTATTTTTTACTAAATTTTGTGTATTTTAAGAAAAAAAAAATTAATACGATTTTCGATTAATATTAAAAGATATAATATATATTCATACAAAATATATACTATAATATATAATCTATATTCTAAAAAATACGAAAATTTAACTATTTTTTATACTCTCGACATTCTTTCTCATATTTAATATAAATAAAAAATTTAAACTAAAAAACAAAACTAATACACCATTAAAATAAATTTAAATTATTAATTGATATTTTAAATTATTAATTTATTTAAATTATCATTGGTAAAAGAATTAAATATATATAACATTTTTATAAATAAATATATAATTGGTAGTAGTATGCTTAAATATAATATTATATTTTATAAACCAATAAAATATAATTTAAATATAAATATATATTTATATACATTTAATAAAAGGAAAAGAAATATGATTTTTTTATGGGAGGGTATAATAGTAAAATAAAAAATACAATAACATAGAATTTTAAAATAACAGTAGTACACTGTTACTGAAAATTCCTACATTTGCAGGATTTTAAAATCTCACGTACTTAAAATTTCATTATCAATTTTATAACCAAATCACGAAATCCCACCAAATCCACAGACCAAACAATTAGGGCCAAAATTTCTACTCATCTCTCTTAAGGTGTTTATATTTTCAATTTGTGTGTACGGTTTTTTGGAAAAAAATTATATTTTTTAATTATATTTTAACTTTTAATTTTAATTGGATGAATTAATTATTTCAATATTAATTTAAAATTATTTTTATTATATGATAATTATTTTTACTAATATATTTTTTATACTCTTTCAAAACTACTGTTGTATTGTATATTTGGATTATTGCTTTTTTTTTTTTTTTTCTCCCGTAATTAAGATTTTTTTTGTCTTGTTGGTTCCATTCAGCTCCCCTCTAAGTACTTTTGTTTGGTGAATGGTGGCAAGAAATTTTTAAAAATTGAAAATATATAAATCAATAAATTATAATTGTTATATAAATATAATATTATCATAATTATAATTTAAAATTTAAAATGCGATTAAAGTGCATAATTATATTTTCAAAAATAGAAAGGATAAGTTACGTGGGACTGACGAAAATAAAAAATAAGGACAAATTATATGGGACGGAGGGAGTATCTATTTAAAGACATTAATAGTTGATAAAATAAATAATATAATATAAATATATATCCAACTGTATAAAAAAAAAATTATTTCTTTTGTTATGTAATTAGGATTTTTTAGTAGTGTTGATTCTTTTTTTTCATATAAATTTTTGTTGTTTTCAAATTTAATTTGAAAAAGACATTCCATACGAGTACTCTAATTTTTTTTTTTTAAAAAAAAAATTCTCCTTATCAATGTAAAGATTATGATTTGTTTTTTAAATTTTTTTTCACACGTTTTTTCCAAAAATATTACTCCATATTATACACATTCAATATTTTTATATTATTTTATATGACAAACTTAATTTGAATTTTGTGAATTGATTTGCTTGACTAATTTTTATTAATATGAAAGTTTATATGAATTGAATTCAAACATGATAATATATGTTCTAAGGTCTATTCAATTCAAATATAATCATGTTTATTATATTCATTTTAATTTAATACTCCCTCCCCTAGCACCACACTTCACACTTTTTTTGCGTCCGTCCCATTGCACTTGACACCTTTTTATTTTTATTAAATTTTATCTACTAAAAACATAATTAACAATTACTCCTATAAATTAATAGAATTAAATATATTTTCCAAATATATAAAATTAATATTTTAAAAGCACTAAATATAAATAAAATTAAATAGAAATAGAAGACGGATCTCTTCCTCCCAAACGCCGTGGAGAAAACCTAGCCGATCTCTTTCTTCTCCGAGATGTGCGAGCCGATTTCCAATCGGTTGCCGCGCCGCCGCCGCCGAGGGTTTCAAACGAGGTAGATACAGACCTCACAGGTACGTATTTCTCTTCGACTAATTCAGTTGAGGTTGTTCTCGATACTCTTTTCCCTGACGAATCGGCGGTGTCGGCACTTGATGACGACTCATTCTCCTATGTGGCTGAAACAACCATTGAAAAACAGTCCCATAGCCATATCGACGGATATATTTCTTCATTTTGTCCAACTTCACCGTTGCGGTTCAAACGCCCGTTAACTATATTTGAAGGGTTCCAATTGCTCCATTTTCCTTCCATTTTCACACTGTGAGATAACTAAATTTCAATTTTGTACTTATTGTTAAATTATTTGGTATGAGATTTCTAGGTTAATTTTTGTTTCTGTGTTGCCTTCCTCAGTTGGACATGATGAAAATATTGGTTAGTTCTCTTAATTTGATATGATAAATTTATTATGAATATGCCTAAATTTTTGTAGAATAAAGAAATAGTTGTGCTGCCCTTTTATTATTATAAGTATGTATGTTGTATTTATTGTATATGATAAAAATAATATTTCGGTGACAATGAAATGTCACTAAGTGTTTCATATGACAATGATGTGCTATTTTGCTGAATGTAAATTCTTTGGCCATTTCTTTTTTATTGCTGGGATGATCTATAAAAAATTAGAAAATAGGTTCATTAACATCCAATCTTCTAAACATAGTAAATGCAAACATTGATATATAATAAATTTGATTGTGCTAGTTTGAAATACTAGTACAAAAACAAATATAATTTAGTATTGATGTAATGTTTTAAAATTGTTGTGTTTGTTTAGAGATTTGGATTTTTGGTTAGAATTTGAATAATAAAAAATTTGAATTGAAATAATTATATAATATGATTTAAATAAATATTGATTTGATATTTTAAATATAAATTTAATTTTTAGTATAATATAAAAAATAAAAAATATATGTTTTTAACTTCATATTTTAATGGAAAAAAATTTGGTTTGGATAGTGAAAATCTTTCAAGATCCTCAAAACAAACATATAAAATATTTAAATATCACAATACAAAGAGTACTTAAAATATTAAAAGAAAATAAATTTGAAATCTACAACAAATTGAAAGATTAAAATTTATCAGCATTATCAAACAAAATAAATTTGAAGTCTTAGGATCTGTTTCTTTAACCCCAAATCCCAAATTTTTACTATTTCGATTCTACGTTTCCCCTGTAAAACTCTCTCGCAAAATATTTCATCGTATATTATTTTAATATCAAATTCAAACCAAAATTTTTTAAATTACATCAAAAAAAACATACCCTAGACTTTATTCTTTTGTAATTCCAAATATATATATATATAAACTATTTCCTTTCACAAAACATCACTTAAAAATATTATTTAAACAAAAATTCAAATCTAACAACCCATTCTAAATCAATTTCAAGCTACACACCAAACAAAACTAATTTGCCAGTCATTTAAAATACTTTTAACCAAAACTAATAAATTAGATAATCATTTTAAAAAATACTACTCCCTCCGTCGTGTGTATTTATTTGACCGAGCACGAATTTTAATAAAAGTGAGTAATAATTGTTACTTTTTTCCTTTTATAGTAAAAAAATGTACAAAAAATGTAATAATTGTTTACTTAAAAAAGAAAATAGAATATTTTTCAATGACAACCTAAAATGGAAAGTGAGCATAGATTTGAACGATTGAGGAAGTATTAACCAAAATCCCTCCATCCTAACATGCCTTAGTTTATTCAAATTAAATGCATTCATTCTAACACCAAAATCACTATAGTTTCTGAATAAGGGACAGGTAAATGCTTGCAATCCAGAAATGTATAATGTGGTTCACCTTAGCATATACCAAAAACAAGTAACCCAAAATTTGCCTCCATGTATTGGAAATAATTCTAACACAAAAGAAGGTGTGTTAATACAACAAGCTTTGCATCAAAAATCCTAAACTCAACTCAAAGCAACTTAATTACTTACCACTTTTGGTTCGGCCCAAAATTACGTATGCACTCCCGTTATTTGTGTATCTCTACGCACAACACCATTGCTCGGCTTAGACTGGCGGGAACTCAATAAGGTTTCTTCCACAAATGATCATCGTTGTTGTCCAACACTGAAGGTGTGGGCCGATCAAAATTGCATCTCTTGCAGATGGTGTTCCGACCGAAATTCAGGAAATCGCATCTGCAGGTAGGATTTATTGTGATTATTGAACAAAGTTTTATGTCAGGCAGACAAAAGGTAGAATGATATGGCAGAAAAACCGTGTTACTAGACTCACTTGGGGCATTCCCAATCCCCGGGTCTTAGCTCCCTCTGAGGGCGCGGCTCCTCACACTTGTAACATTGTTGGTTTTTTGCATAATTGAAGAAGGTACACCTGAAAGACAAGAATTCGGACATTGAAAAAAAAAAAAAAAGAAACACTGATGAATGAAATACAATCAATAGAATGTCGTAAATATTTAAGACGAAGTAATGATACCTTGTCCAATAAGGACATCAAAATAAAAAGTAAGCCATTTTCTATAAAAGTGCTGTAGATATTCTCCCTTACAAGGGAGTGTCGCATCCATGTCCGACTTAAATACAACAATATTGGTTATTTTGTGTCTTTAATGTCCAAGATTCCCTAAATATTATCTAAAATATACCCCCTCCGTCCCGACTAAGGTGTCCACTTTACTGTAAACACGAAAATTTAGGAAAAATATAATTAGTAAATACTTAAACATGTATTTGTGAAAGTAATTATCGAATAATAAAAATAATTTAAGATTAAAATTAAGATATCTAATTAGTCTAAATCAAAATTTAAAAAATAAAAATGTATAATTCTTTTAAAAAAAAAAAACAACAAAATAAATGGGATAGACGAAAATAGAAATGTGAACATTGTAGGTACGGAGGGAGTACAATATTTACATATAACAACAATTCAACAAAAACACACAAAACATCATTCTTTATAATACTTTTACGATTCTTCGGACCTTACAAAAAACAAACAAACAAACAACAAACACGTTACTTCCATTTCATAGAGCACTAATGGTCCAAGAAAGGTTAAATGGATCACTTCAATTCAAGGTCACATATTCAGAGAACCATTTTCATTCTATATATATATATAATTTAGATGTTAAAGAAGTTCATGTTCAATAAGATTTTGTTAGCCCAGCATAGTAGAATTCAAAATCTTTTATTTTTGTTACATTTTATTTCTTCCTCTTATACCAAGGTTCCAATTCCAAATAAAGCATTTGTGCCTTCGCAAGTATTCTTAGAACCGCACAGTAGCAGATACCTTGAAATCCCGGCAAGATATATAATATATTCTAAAAACTATAAAAACATGGGAAGAAAAGGAAGAGGCTTTCAAAATTAACACTACATGGTACAGTAGTTATTTTTAACAGGATCGAAGCTAAGATGTGCAGTAAACAACAAACGAAGGAAGAAACATTCCTATATTTCTATGATTCATCAAATGTACAAACTGAAGTTTTCTATTATGTGAAATTGTCAATTGAGTCCCTCAATAAATGAATCCATTCAATCTTTGTTTTTGCAAAACCTAGTTCAATTTCTAGCCTCCAAGATAACATTCATCATTCAGCATGTGTGATTCAATCATAAAAATTAGAACAGGTTAGCTCATTTCTGACACGGTCAGCTTGTGAGTAAAACTTCAACGATAGTAAAGCAATCTTGGTTACATACTCCTTAGTTCAAGAACTTTTAAGGTTTCCAAACATAAGCAACATGTTAAGTACACAAACTTGTTCCAAATCATTTCAAAGCGGCCTATTCATAGAATCGTTGGACTCGAAGGGCCAAGACCACCTCTTGCAATTCAGACAAAAACCTGACAAGTCTAAAGAAATCAGTTTTATCTTTTAAGTCAAAATCTTTGGGCTAGGAAATACTAAAGATCCAAATACATCATTCCCCTAGACTGTTGCACAGCCATCTCACTTCTGAAAATTTTTTATTTAGTTCAGCATATTTCGGCAGATTTATACTCCCGTCATCCCAAACATGGTACAACATTTGGTCTGACACAAAAATTTAAGTGGATATTATTAAGTAGTATAATTTGAAAATTAGGTAACATGGTAGGAGAGAGAAGTGTAAAGTTATTGTTTTATTTGTGTGATATAATGAGATAAAGTGTGGTGTATATTTATTAAGAATAAAATATAGTTAATTATTTCCTATTTCGTAATATTGCACTATGTTTGGGGCAGATCAAAAAAAAAATATTGCAAGATGTTTGGTACAGAGAATACTATTCATGACTTCTACTTTTGCATTGACTATACTCATAAGAGATACTCTTTCTGTCCCATATAATTTGTCCTTATTTTCTATTTTCGTCCGTCCCACATAACTTGTCATTTCCCTTTTTGGAAAATATAATTATACACTTTAATCACATTTTAAATTTTATATTTTATAATTTTTTAAATTTTAATTAAACTATCTAATTATTTTAATATCTATACTTGTTTCTATTATACAATAATTATTTTTACTAAAACACTTCTTAATTACTTACTAATTATATCTTACCTAAATTTCCGTATCTACATTAACACACCCAAATTACATGGGACGGAGGGAGTACATCATAGCAGAATCATACTTTTCAAGCCTCAACAAAATTTAAATTTGGTAAAGCATATTTCATGTCTGCTTCCAAGCAAAGAAACATAAAACCTTCTTTTACCAGATAAATTTGACAGTGTCACATGCCCCTCCATATTAAACTGAGTCCAACCACAAGAACAGGGTTCATCAACTCATTAACATATTTTCAAAGAGATATGACACACTATGAGTAGATAGCGCAACGTTCTTAGATTGAGTTTGTAGTGACCAACTAGTAAAGACCAATGAATATAACTATCAAAATGAATTCGATATGCCAGTGGAAGCAATTTGTAAACTCACCGAGGACAATCCCAATCTCCTTTCTTCCTTTCATTCGCAGGCCTCTCAGTTTTACAGTTCAGGCATTTCGTGTTTTTTGCAAAGTTCATAAAATTGCACCTGCAGTATATAGGATGGTGATCATGTTGTGGTTGTAATTGGAAATTACAACATTCAAAAGAATCTACTAGAAAATTCCACAAAAGCAGAAGTATCGCAACATCATGAGTCACAAGTATATAACACAATTCCTAAAGGAGTTTTTGGATTATGGATTTGAATTTTTGAATAGGAAAGTTTGGAATTTGAATAATTGTTTGATGTAATATAAACAGGTGTTGATGTAATGTTCAAAATTGATTTTTAGTATAATATAAAAACTAAAAATATATGTTTGATTTGATATTTTTGGGGAAAAAATTAATTGAATAGCGAAAATTTTTGAAAAATCCACAAAAGAGCACAAGCTAAATTACTTTTATAGTGACTAACTAGTCAAGAAGACAATATAACGATCAAAACGAATTACATATGCCAGTGACAGCAATCTAAAACTCACTTAGGGCAATCCCAATCCCCTTTCTTCTTTTCAGGACTATTATCACCTATACTTATTGGTCTCTCAGCTTGACATTGTAGACATCTCACATTTCTCGCAAAGTTCACAAATTTGCACCTGTACAATTGGTAAAATATCAAAAATTAGAATTTACTAGAAAATCCGCATAAAAACAATATGATTTGGACCGTATACAAAGGAAACAGATTCCAAACAGAAAGTATAGCAATCAGAGATGTCTTGGCAGCATGTCGACAGCTCTTACATGGTATGTAAGAAATTACGAAAGACAAATCCAATCGCCTTTTTTCCATCTCCATTAAATTATGTGCTCTGGGTACCTCATACCCACAACCACAGTATAGTTTGCTCATTTAAGAGTTCAAGAAGTTGCGCTTGATAAGCATATTAGAAAAATATCAACCAGGGGAAGTTTGAGCCAGTGATATAGTGCAAGCTGATAACATCAGTGTTGTTTGACAGACTGTTGAAAAAGATATGCAATGTAAATTCTTTAATTTTATCTATAACACGGATTGTATACTTATAACAACTTTGATTCTATATTACCAAATCCAAAATCAGTTGAAGTATCTCTGTGAGAGTGAATATGTGCAACAAAATCTAAAACTTCAGATGACTATAACCATGTTGTCACTAAGATCATGACATCATTAAGTAGGGTCAGAAAATGAGAATAATTTCTCCAAATCAAGTTAAGCAATATAAACAATTATACATAACATATTATATTTCACCCTTACTTGCTGCACGGCCAATCATTTGAAGTCACAAAAACATATTTTGGGTTTTCACCATCTGAAGAACGAGAGGACTTCTTTCTTTGCGGAGTCGAAGGAGGAGCTTGAATATTAGGGTCACGAGGTGTATCTCCAAGCTCAATCAACTCTGAGAGCAATTTCCTTGCGGATGATTCGATAATCTCTCTCTCTGCCAGTTTATTTTCTCCAAAAACAGTGGCGGACTGCAATGCACAGATAAGTAATATTCGGACCACATCTACAGTTCGTGCATCACCTTCACCATCTTTTAATAGACAAAATGCTCTATCACATGACCTAACAAAATTGCATGGCTCGCAAACCTGAAGTCAATTGAAAAAACAAATGAACCACATGATAAAAGAGTTGCAACCTCAATTCTAAAAACAGAAATATATTCTAAAGGATGCAAAAGGCACACTTACAGCTGCTTCATCAATTTTCAGATATGCTCTCAACCTTTTTGATGAGTTAACGGCTTTTCGATAAAGAGTAGGACAGCCTTTCTCTACAACTGTTTGAATATCTTGAGTGGATAATGATCTGCAACAAAAAATAAAAAGTTCTTCAATCAGACAGACAACATCACATATTAAGCATCATTTGTTGCTAACGATACAATCAAACCCCCAAGTAAACAAATGAGCCTTAGCACTTTCATTTCTCAGAAAACAACTTAAAACCTGCAAAGATGCTATCACTATATCCAGTAATGTCCCAACTAAACCACAACCAAAATAACAATAAATACAGAATTATAGTATTATTGAGATACTTCGAGGATATCGAAAGAACTATAGCAATAAATAACAGTGTCCCTCTTCATACAATTATTAGCTTCCACCAAATTACATTTACTTACAACAACGGAAAACAACACACCTTGAAATTAAATTGTAGCCAAGCACAACAAGCATGAAATTTTTAAAATTATACCTCGAAATTAAATTGCAGCCAAGCACAACAAGCATGAAATTTTTAAAATTATACCTCGAAATTAAATTGCAGCCAAACACAACAAGCATGCATATTTGTAATCATACATTTACTTAAGAAGGTAAGAACATTGGCAGGTAAATGTGTTTGTTTGCATTTTTGCACTGTAAAACAGCAAAATAATTCTTCTCCTAAAACTACATCACATCCACCACTTCCATACTCCAATTATAACATTACATCTACAAGCCCATTTCCCATTCAAATCATTACTCAAACCTGTTGATTTTCCATTTAGAACATCAAATCCAAAACCTATTCTCCATTAAAGAAATTTCAATTCCAAAACATCCAAAAACATCCTAAACAAAATCAGACAAGAACGCCCACTCCACGTACACAAAAGAACACCAAATGAAAAGTCCACAAATGAATCACATTCTAAAATTATAAGATCGAGACACTATTTCACTGAACTAAACAACAGGAAATACTAATAATACACAAAAAGAATAAGGTGGGATGCAAATACTTGAAAATGTCAAAACGATCGCGTCCGAAGCTCAAGCACGCGTCCTTAACCAACTTCATATCATTGTAAACAGAAGCCCCCGCATTATTACTACCACTGTCACCATCTTCCGAAGCAGCTGCCTTTTGAGTAAGGTAGCCTTTAGCCTTCAAGCTGTCAACAAATTTGATCCATTCTGGCCACGGATGGGCAGGAGCTGCGGGAGAATCCCCAGTAGCGAGATTAGAAGCTACAGAATCGAGAGAAAATGCCGCCGAATAGGAACACCTGAACCGTGTGGAAGGATTGAAGCAAAATATATCAAATTTTGGGGAAATTTGAGCGGACTTGCGGGAGTTACGTAGAAATGAAGGTCCTAGGAGAGCGAACAATCTTGCAGAAGCCATATTTTAGCTCGATTCCTTGTGGGCTTGTTCAATTTTCCGGTAGGGGTTTTGGAGGGTTTTGCAAGGACGGAGATGCGGCTCCGCTGTGCAACTGATATTGGGTGGAGAAGATAAAAGAATTTAAAAATGAAATACTATAACTGAAAAAAAATAAAATAAATAAATAAATAATTATTATATATATATATATATATTTCTTTTTCGCATACTGAATTTGTGTTTTCAATTAATTTTTTTACACGATTTTTAATATATAATATAATATTATTTTTAAAAACTTTAAAACTTAATTTCATACACAAGTCATTGTATATCAAATAAAAAGTATATTTTAATTCAAAATATTAGACAAACAAACCCACTATAAATTCAATTATTTAAACCGTGTCACTGTGCTGAACACCACATCACCACATAATATTACTATAAACAGTACACTTTATATATAATATAATGCAAATACCAACAAAACAGATATGTTATAGTCTTAATATAATACAAATACAACACATAAACTATAAACTGACAATATGCTATAATCATATACAGCACATAATAGTTAATTTATTTCCTAGCATACTTTTATACAGCCCGCTTGTTATTATTAAAAAACCGCACATAACTTTATTATACATAGCATATGATGTGTGTAATAATAATATGTACTGTTTGCATATATCCTTAAACACATATATATATATGAGAAGCTGCACGGATAACTACATGTTATTACGTAAATGTCCTTAATAGTGTAATATTTGTTATTTTGAACAGTTGTACGAAATGGTAATATCGTAGACAAGTATGACTAAATTTGTCAATTAACCCCTGCGTTGTCAATTATAGGATATTGAGTGTTATTCAGGTTTGTGTTTTTTCAATTCCATTTGTTATTTTTGTAGTGATTTACTTATAGAAAATATATTGATATGGACATCATTTTGTAGATTGTAACATTTATTTTAATACAATAATTTAGTTACAATATTTTAATGTTATGATATATTAAAAAATGCATTTGAAACTAATGCAGGGGTTTTTGAGTTTGTTGGACACACAAAATAAAAAATATTTGACTCCGACAGGACGGTTGATCAATATATATCATTTTGTACATGAATTAAATATTTAATTTAGTTAAAATTAAATAGTTAAATAATACATAAATAATGTCTAAAAATATAATTCAACAAACAAATTAAGTAATTTAATTTATACACTAAAATCATTACAAAATATAATTAATAACTTAATAGTTGCAAGAATTAATGGGAGCAGCGGGAAGAAAGTAGGAGTAAATGCAGGAGTTGGGGGAGTATGGCAGTTTTAATGCATTCGCACTGCAGCCGACCAGCCGTCGCTTGAATTCCGCAGAGCAGCCGACTTCGCTTACCTCTATGCAGAAGTTTCTGCGCTGAATAAATGCAGCCTACCACCTATAAATGTTTTTGTTTGTTCTTACGCAGAATTAAGACAACCTTCATTCAATTAATAATCGTTATAAACGAATTTTTGCACTAATTAATACAAAATTGATCTTTATTAAAAATTACACAATAAATATTCAATAAAAGAAAAGTATATTACTATTTATTTAAAAATATTTATTACGCCAACATTAAATATTTAAATTATATTTTCTTATAATATTTAATTTAGCTAAATTAACACTTAAATAGTGCCTAAAAATACAATTTAATAAACAAATCAATTAATTTAATTTATACACCAAAATAAGTATGAAATATATACTTAAAAATTAATAACTTCATAGCGCAGGAACTAACGAGAATAGCTCGAAGAGAACAAGAGTAAATGCAGGCTGACCGAAGTAAATTTAATGCAGCAGCCGACCAGTCGTCGCTTGAATTCCGCACAGTAGCTGACTTCGCTTCCTTCTATGCAGAAGTTTTTGCGCTGAGTAAATGCAGCCGACCAACTATAAATACTTTATTTTAATCAACCATAACTCCACCAGTGTTGGTTCTCTAAAATATATTTATATTGGTTCTCTATATGCGGCAGGTGACCTAAGACGTCGGAAGTTTGAACTCGTAACCTCACGGTCACAAATCCAAGCATGTGACTTAAGACGTCGGAAGTTTGAACTCGTAACCTCACGGTCACAAATCCAACCCCTACACCACTCAGTCATCCCTTACGGGATGACTATATTTCTTTCATTGATTGTATGAGGCGTGGCATGACATTTGGAATTAATGTATTTTAAAAAATATAAAAGAAACTTCTGAAGTTGCGGCAGAGAGCAACAGAGTTCCATATTTTTTTGTTTTGAATATACTTATAATTATTTTTTATTTTTTATATTTTTATATTATATAAAATTTTATTTTTTACATAATTATATATATATATTTATATATTTTATTTAAATTTATTTTAAAAATAAATAATTTTGATATAGGAAAGAAATGATGGTGGAAGGAGATATAAACTTTTGGTTGAATTTCTTTGATATGGATGGTTATGTGTATGGTCACAGCATACTCCATTGTGTTGTGAAAGAACAAAATTGTTGAAAAATTGTTTGAATGAAATTAGTTTTTTATGATTTTTTTTCCTTAAACCAAAAATTATAAAAACGGTATTCAATTGTGTCACTTTTAAATTTTTTTTTTTTTTTTCTCTCAATTATTATTAACAAATAATTCTAAAAGCTCAAAAAATATCAGTATAAACTATTCAGAGATCCCCAATAGATAAAGGCAGATAACATGAAGCCAGTAGATAATTCGAATTCTTGTGGTATGGAACTTCCGAGAGCTCCTAATCCTTCAAAATGTGTTTCTTTGGTAAAAATTTTTTAAAAAAAATTATTTGAATTTGATATTAAAATAATATATGATGGGATATTTCTAGAAAAAAAAAAAAAAATTGTATATTTTTCAAGAAAGACATAGTCGAAATAGTAAAATTGAACACACCTTCGTATTCTTGTTGCCTTTCCTTTAGGTTTCTCCAACAATGCGTTCATTCTGCTCGGTTTTTGGTTGTAGTTGGCGCAAAAAGGATTGTACCGTAATTAGTTGCGCATACATACAACATCCTCGAATCCAAACACAAGTGTTAGATTGTGTCAAATGCTGTAACAATGGAACACCTCAACGAACGAAGAACTTGACATAATATCCATATATACATACATTACAAAATCATACAAGGCCGAAAAGGTATTTATCTACGGCAATTCTTTCAAAACCTCACATCAAATATATTTTTTCTAACACAAAACTTCACATCAAATACTAACCTTTTGCTACTTTCAAAATAGTTCAAAACTTCTATCTTTCCGGGGCCATATCTTGAATTCCTCGAGAAGCCAAGTACACATTTCTGAATATAATGAATTATAATATACTAGAAACTTGAGCTTTTGTAACACTTCCAAAGTGTGTATCAAAGCATAAACAACTGAGGATTTTATCTCGAAGACATAACTTAAGAGGCATTCATCAATCGCCACATAGAAATCACGAAAATCAACCAAGGACAACATACTTTATTTGCAAGAATGCATCTAATCGAGCTATATCTCCAAGCACACCCTCCCGAATATAATGAATTACTCCCACCGTCCAAGAGAAAAAATATCCGTCTTAACTTATTGGTTGTTTGTCACAAATATATCCATTTCTTTTTTATTGTCTTATAAATAAAATCCTTACGGTTTAACATATTTTTACAACAATACATAACAAATTTTCTAACAAGCATAAGTCGTAAGGGCATCATTGTCTTCCACTCAACACAGCTACTTTTATATATGAAATACTATTATTCCTTAAACTCTGTATAAAAAGAAAATGATTAAATTACATTCGGACAGGAGTAGTATAATATACCATGAACTATAATTATCGAATATCATTATCAACTATATATATATATATATATAATCTCATGGAAAATAGGATATGCCAAAATTAGATTCAAACTTGACAATGTCAGCTCCAACTCGAACAGGGCAACAAGAATACCGGTGCATTTTTTTTTTATTACAAATTAGGGATCGAACAAGCAGTCAAGGAATTCCTTATTCATGATCCTCAAAAGTTTTAAAAATACAAAATGAAAGCTAAGGCCAACTTAAAAATTAAAATGCATAAAAGCATGTAAAAGCCATTGCTTACAATAGGAGCAGCTCATTGGCAGCAGACGACGAAAGTGATCCATCCCACCAAGCCTTCTAACTCCACACAATAGCAGATCCTCAATTCCACCTTCAAAAGAAGAGATCTTTCGACATATCCCGCAATAAAAAACATGACAAAAATTTACGACATTTAGGATTGAAACAAAAGTGCTTTAACCAACAACCACAATCAGACATATACAACATTCTTAGTTCTTCAAAAAATGAGAGTTAGAGCCTTCACTACCATCAAAAGCTCAACAAAATTTGTAGCAAAAGGTGAATAAATCTATTAACAAACCATACATGGTTCTCCTCAATCTTTGGGAGCCCACCATCGTGGCCGAGGAAATGTAATGCCCTGCTTTTTAGCTACTTCAAGAATGTCCTCACTATTCAAATCATCATCATCATCATCATTGTCGGCTGATTTGTCAAGACTTCGCCCGATCAGCTTCATCATATCCAGAAACGCCATTGAACCACTCCTTTTACCCAAACCATCATCGTTCCCATTGTCACCTCCATCGCACCCTATCGTAGCTCCATTTGATTTTATTTCCTTACCTTCCCTAGACCCCATCTTCCGGGCCTGGACAAGTTTCTTGACTCCATTCTCCCCCTCCATTTTTTCACGATCAGATCCATTTTCGACTACACAAGACTTGTGCTTAGCATCTCCATTGCCAATTTTACCTGCAACTGAAGCCTCACCTAAGCAACTACTTTCGGAATTTTTTTCTGCTCCGCTAGCTTCATCAATGGCGTCGACCTTTGGCAGTGTATATTTCACCAAAGTCTTAACAAGAGCTGTGCCATTTCCGGCTACAAAACACTTGTGCTTAGCATCTTCATTGCCAATTTTACCAGAAAGCGATTTCTCACCTAAGCAACTACCTTCGGGATTGTTTTCTGCTCTAAGAGCTTCATCAATGGCATCAACCTTTGGCAGTGTATATTTCACCGAAGTCTTAACATGAGCCGTGCCATTTCCGACTACAAAACACTTGTGCTTAGCATCTCCATTGCCAATTTTACCTGCAATCGAAGTCTCCCCTAAGCAACTACTTCCCGAATTTTTTTCTGCTCTATGAGCTTCATCATTAGCATTAACCTTTGGCAGCGTATACTTCGCCGGAGTCTTAATCCGGCCAGGTGAATCGTCCGGAGCAACATTCATGGCGGAAACGTCATTCTCGGCAGAATCCTCGCTACCCGATGCAACTACGTTAGTTTTATAACCTTGCTTAGGTTCGACAGCGGCGTTTTCATCTTCTCCATTAATGTCCTCGCCTGGAACCCTAGCTCTCTTCGAGGCGGCCTCCGTCCCAGTCTCGTCATCCGAAACCCTAGCTCTCCTCGATCCGCGGCATTTAACCCCTAAATCGACAGTCTTCAACTCGTCCGGGGGATTTTGGGTCACCTTCTCGAAGGAGATGCGGCATTGATGATCCGGCGGGGGGAGGGCTGCCGCATTCTCCGCCTCAACGTGTTCCGATAATGAATCGACGCTATCGGGAAGGGAGAACATGTAGACTTCAGTGAGTTGGGTGGGCGTGGAATCTGGCGAAGAGGAAGAAAAGAAGTAGGCGGAGGAGGAGGAGGAGGAAGAAGAGGAGGAGGTGTCGAGTAACGAAGCGGCCGGATTGGTGGCGGCCGCCGATGGGTCTCTCTGCTTCTCTTTGGCAGCCATTGCTGCCTGGTGCGATGGTAGGGTAGGGTATCCGTATTGGTGGGATTCAATGGCAAATTGGGGGGGTGAGTTTTTTATCTCATTTTAAATTATAGTGTAATAATTTAAATTTTTTTTATTAATTAATTTGAGTTTATCATCGAGGTGTTGGTTTGAACATTGCTCTTATTCTAGCTCATATTCAAATTATTTAATATATATATATTTATAATTTGAGTAATTTATTTTACAATTATTTAAGAATATAAAATTTATTATACTTTAATATTTTAAAAAACTAACAATAACAATAATAATAAACTAATACTCCATTCGTCCAATAAATTTAATACATTTGAGTCTGACGTGAAAATTAAAAAATAAATAAATTATTGAAAAAATAATAAAAGTATTGAAAAAATAATAAAAGTAAAAGATTGTTTGAGTGTTTTCTAAAATTTAGTTTGGAATAATGAAGAGACCGATTTTATTAAAGAATTTAATATTCTTAATAAATAAGTGTTGAATGAAAAATAATAATTAAATATAAAATTTGTTAACTTCGTCAAATTTAGTAATGAAATAAATTTAGCGAAATGACTAAAAATAAAAATAAAAATAAATTTGGTGGACGGAATGAATATATAATTTTAATTTTTATAATTATATAATATTTTTTCAAAACTTTAGTAAACTTTTTAAAGTAATTTTAATTCATAATATATAATTTAAAATTTTTTTTTTCAAAAATTTGATGATAAGCTAAAAGTTGAAAGAACATTAGTCTTTGCAACATTGTATCAAACAAAAACAATAATGTCTAATATATTACACTTGCATATAATGCTTTTTTAAAAAAAATAATAATAAAAAATAAAAAGTTAGAATTCATCTTATCTCATAGTTCACAATATTAAAAGAAAAAATAGTTTGTTATAAAAATAAAATAAAAAATAGTACTCCCTCAGTCCCACATAATTTGTCCCTATTTTTTATTTTCGTTCGTCCCACATAATTTGTCATTTCTATTTTTGGAAATATAATTATGCATTTTAATCGCATTTTAAATTTTAAATCTATAATTATTTTTACTAATACACTTCTTAATTACTTACTAATTATACTTTACCTAAATTCACGTGTTTACAGTAATACACCCATATTACATGGGACGGAGGGAGTACAAGAGTACATACAACGAAGTTTTTTCTTTCCCTTTCTAAAACTCTCATTTCCACTGATCTAAATTTTAACTAGAGAATTTCGATTAAAAATTGAGTTAGTCCTCGTGCAGGTGACACCACCATCGACGGTATCTTTTTTCTCTTATTTACCCTTCTCTCTCCCTGTCTCTCTTATTTGTCCTTCTCTATCCCCATTCGGACTTTGGTGTTCTTCTTCCCCCAACACATTCATATTCTCATCGTCGATGATTGCTCTTCTCCCTCTTGTTGTCATTTCACAGTCCCTACGCCCGGTCGAGGAAACGATCTTCTTCAATGGCGACGGAGGTATGATAAACTTTGCAGCAATTTCTTGTTTTAGGGTTCTAATTTTATTTTCTTTTATTCTTCTTTTCTTGATGTTTTAGAGATTTGAATCGATTGTTTTAGTTAAAGGTTTAAGATTTTATGTTTGATTAAGATGTTGGATTAAAAATTCAATTGTGGATTAAATGTAACTATTTGGGTTATAAGTCAGATTAAGCCTATATTAAGTAATTTATTAATTTATTTAGTAAGTGTGAGCCTCTATGTGCAAAAACCTGGTAACTTTTTAATCGAGTGATAAGATCAATTATTAATAAGGGATATAAATAGGGTTATGATCTCAGGTCCAGGCGCAACAACCATTACATTTCATATCTCATACTGGGAGTAACGGCAAAAACCCTAGCGGTTTTTTTCAGGAGGAATTGAGCCATAGGCTTGAAGAAGACAAACCCTCCGTTAATTTGTAGATCCGAATCCAATAATGCTAATAGAATAAGGTTATATTTAATTACTTTATTTTTATCTCAATTATTACAACATAGTAGATCCTGACTTTAGGGTTAAATTCCTGATAAGTTCCAATATTTGATGTATAGCCGATTTGATTGGGACGAAGGGTTTGGCGAAGATTGGGAGATCGATAGAATACAGGTTCTCCATCGCCAACCTCCTTCAGACATTGGCAATTGCCGATTTGATTGGGATGAAAGATTTTGTAAAAATTGGGAGTGAATATTGTGTGCAAAGAAAGAATTTCAAAGGATCGAAGGAAAAGAGCTGCTATGTTTGTTTTGAAAATAAAAATCGATACATATCGAATTAGAATTGATACATAAGATACACGTAAGTAAATGGAGGCTTTTAACCGACCCACCAATGTATGTGCTCTAAAGTAATTCAATTAAAACATATTTTTCATACTCCCTCCATCATGCATATGTGTGCTCACTTGGCTGGGCATGAATTTTAATAATAGTGAGTAATAATTGTTATTTTTTACTTTTATAGTAAAATCAACTACAAATGTGTAATGATTTTTTTCTTAAAAAAGAAACGAGAATATTTTTCAATGACAATTCAAAAAGAAAAATGAGCATAAATTTGAATGACGGAGGAAGTATTATATTTCATTGTCTACTCCATCAAAAGTAATATTTTTATTTGAACTTTTAACATTTATGTTTAGTTTCATATATTTAAAAAATAATAATAATAAACAAGCATATAAAAGCTTAGTGATTTCAAAAGGAAACAATAAGAATCTAAAATCTATAGGAAAAACAAATATAACGAAGAAAACATACAATTTTCCTTGAAAAAAATAGAAATCATAAAACTATATATTTATTTCATCTAAATTAATCCAATTAATTTGGTTAACTGGTCCGTCATATTTTTATTCACCGATTAATCGGTTGCATAAATTACGAATTTTGGGTTGGATTTGTGACCATGAGGTCATGGGTTCAAACCCCCGACGCCTCAGGTCACCTGCCACACATGGTTCGCCTAATGTGACTTTTCCATCGGGCCTGGTATGCAGGGTATTAAGTTCGGCCTGGACAATATTTCACACGATAATTTGGTTATACAAATATTGGAGAGTATCAATGGCTATTGACACATTTTAATTAGTTTTCTACTCCCTCCGTCCCAATACAATAGTCTCATTTTTATAAATAAACATATCACTATAAAACTATCATTACTTTTTCATTATTATTACACAATTGTCACTATTTTTACACTAATATACTCACAAGAACAAAAAAGTCTTTTATCTATACTTTTTATCCACTAGCAATATAATATCAATATTCCTTAAATCTCGTGTCAAACACAACTCAGACTATAGTTCTGGGACGGAGGGAGTATTATATTAGTGTGTTATTATTTTATTTTTTTTCTTTTAAATGATATTTCCTCTGTTCTAGATAAGATGGACGTGTTACCGTAGATACAAGAATTTAAATAAAGTATAATTAGTAAGTAATTAAGAAGTGTATTAGTAAAAATAATTATTAATTAGTAAAAATAATTATAGATTAAGATTAAGATAAATAAATAGTTTAGTTAAGATTAAAAAAATTATAAATTACAAATTTTATAATATGATTAAAGTGTATAATCAATTTTTCAAAAAATAAAATGACAAATTATGTGTGACGAATGAAGTATTTTTCTAGCATAATTGTTTAAGACGGCTGATCCTACGTTGTATGATGAAATGACTATGGTGCTGATTTGATTTGATCCGATCAGCTTGTGGAATAAAGAAATACAATATATATCATACATAACAATCATATTTAAAAGAACATATATGTAACACCCCCAGTTGGCATGAGGTCGTCACCTCCTACTTCGGGCCCCATAATACAGTGTTAAGGTTAAAATTAACCATAAAACGCATTATTATATAAAAAAATCTGATTTATAAATATTTACAAAACATACCCCTTAACAAGAGGTTTTTTCGGTTAAAAATTTACATATAATACAATAGACGTAAGTTCACTCACTCAGCCTGTCTTTCTATATCCAGACATCCCATGTCTTGGATGTGCCATGCATACCTGAAACAAATATTTTCTTAAAAGCAGTCTAGAATTAAATCAATTTTAAGAACTAACGTGAAATATGTCATGTCATGCCAATAGTGAAATGATGCAGTACAGATATCAAACTCGACAACAATGTACATCCACATATATACATATATACGTCCGCCGAAGTGAGCAGCCGGAATAACCTCGGCTCCATAATCATAGGCTCACTACATCTGTCTAAGTGAGCAGCCGGAATACCCTCGGCCCCGTAATAACAAGCTCACTAAACCATCATCAATAAATAGCCGGAAAATCCTCGGCTCAAGGAAAGACCTGATAAACCCATAATAATATAACGGTCATCCGGTCACTCCCACATACCCACCATACGATTCCCACAATCAATACATGGATAGCCGAACGTTGTCACCATTAACCACAAGACGCCCCATAGTTTGTGATAACGAAGATAGGACCCCCACTGACTAGCCCTATCCCGTGTAATGTAGTAGAATCCGTGCAACCTGGAATCACCCAAGAGAAACCCGGAAACTCTACTCCTCCTCGCACGCCCTAACGGGATCACGTTTGGAGTTTGGCATATGATCCTAAACTACCGGTAGACCTCACTAGTGATCAGTCCAATTAGTGGAACAACACCGAACACGAATGATTAGACCAAATACGTCTCAACTACAATGGGTCTAATCCCTGAATGACCGTGCGACTAAGTCACCCAGTTGTCCGACTACTATCGTCCACTATCGCCAAAGTGTTACGGTACATCGGGATCGAATATCCTAATCCCAGATGATGCCCTCGCCTAGCACTACCGCACACGGCGACTAAACGATAGATCCATAAAACATATCCGATAAACCATGCAATATGTGTGCAACATGCCAAATAAGTGAATTTACCAAAAAGGGCTAGTGAGACAGCTCACTTATCTTCCTTTTCATAAGTTCATTAACACGATCAAATACGTATATCAAATATCATAAACCGTGAAGTCTCCCACATGCATACGCACACATATATATAAATATATACATGCAACAAAATGATTCACATTATATCACATTAACATATTAATCAAAATCGCATGCAACATGCATATCTAATTTCTTAAAATTAGATTTAATTCCCTACTGCTTACCTCTTATAGACACTCCTAACTTTTGCAATCTCACTCAAATCTCATCGAACGTACACCTGCCCCATTATTTACTCAAATCAGCTGAGCTATATGCTTATACATAGGAGCTACCTGCTTGTTCAAAAGCTAATTTCTATAGTTAGCTCGTTGGGTTTCAAACTTTTATATTTAGTAGACAACGATATTCTAGCTATAAAATTCTTATACCTCATAATATTTATATCGCCCGATTACTAAATAAAAGTACTTAAAGATATAAATAAACAGCCAGGTGCAGTACACTGCCGTTTTCGATTCAACTCGGATCGATACGAAATTCTCAGAATATAATGCTAGGACTACAAATAGGCTATTAGCTAAAGAAATTTGTCGATTAAATAGCCAAATAGCCAGTTATAAATTTTTAAAAAATTTCTAATTTAATATTCCCAATATCGAAATTCATATTAAAATCTATAATTAAATTCTCCGTATAACAAAAAATACAATACCCAAATCAGAATCGAAATCGAACTGCTAACTCTTTTTATTTCTTCTCTTCATGTTTCTTCTTCCTCTGCGACGCCTGCTTCTGCCTTTCTTTCTTCGCAGGTAAGATTTGATTTCTTATATATAATTATATTATTATTATATATATTATATTATATTATTAACGTTATTATTATTATTATTATTATTATTATTATTATTATTATTATTATTATTATTATCTTCATCATCATTACTTTTATTATTATTATATTATTATATATTTTGTATTTTATATTTATATTTATCTGTTTAACAATCGTTTCAATCACAATTCATATATAAAATAGGAATAAAATTTATTCTAAAATATTAATTTTTAATTTCAAAATATTATAAAAATATTTATTTGCTATAATAATATTATTTTATACACTCCAAAATCAGAGTATTACAATATATTTTGTTTTAACAAAACATATATTGTGTTATGTAGAAAAATGTACTACTTCTTCCGTCCTACAAAGATATTAACATTTAATTTTTATACGTAAATATTTTAATATTAGTATTATATTGGATTATAGGAAAAAGACAAAAAACTTTTATTAGTATTGCGTAATATAAAAATAATGACATTTGTGTAATATATCTTAAATGGAAGAATATTTATTATATTAGGTATGTACTACAAAATTTTTAAATTATGAAATAAAACATTTGTTTTGTGACAGACGAAAATTAAAAGTAAAACCATTTTTATGAGACGGATGAAATTTATACTTTTATTTTATATTTTGATCAGATTAAATTAGCATCAATCACCATCAGATCCGCGCACATTGTTAACAAGTATACTAAGGGTGTGTTTGTTTGGGGGTTTTAGATTTTGAATTGGGATTTAAATAGTTAAAATTTTGAATTTGAATAGTTGTATGATATGATATAAATAGGTGTTGATGTGATGTTTTGAATGTAAAATTGATTTTTTAGTATAATATAAAAAATGAAAAATAGATGTTTGATTTGATGTTTTTGGGAAAAAAAAAAAAAAAAGGATAAATAGTGGATTGAAATCCAATCCCCAAACAAACAGATACAGAGAATTGGCAGTAGAGAAATGGAAATGTTTATATTTCTGTTGTTTGTTTGAGTAAGAGAAATGGAAGTTGAGAAATAAATCATTTCTATTTCTCTATTTTCATTTCTCTTGTATATTCAGAAAAATTGAGAGAAATGATGTTCCAGTATATATATTTTTATTTTTTTTATTCTTTTCTTTACTATTTAATTTTTATAATTATTTATATTATATTATTTTAGTTTTACAAAAAATTATTTTTAATTTATCATTCAAGTATTTAATTTTTTACAAAAATTTATGCTAAAATATGATCTTACAAAACTTCATAGATAATGTATAATTTTTTGTTTTAAAAAAAATCACCATAAATATTTTTTCATGATTCTCACTAGCTAAAACTCTCTTTTGTTAGATTAATAATTTATTATTGTCCGATCATTCATTTTTTTTTATATTTCTTAACTGAATTCTCTATTATACCAAACACTCCTCAATTTCCTTTCTTTCCAATTTCAATTCTCTACTGTCATTTATCTGCAATTTTATTCTTTGTACCAAAACCCCCTAAGTATATCTTATGTACTGTTACTATTACTATTTATTCAAACACATTCTTGTTTTGCAAGTGATTTCTAATTTGTTTTAATTTGTGATACTTTTGGTTTGTTTGTTTACAAAATTTTGATTTTAAATAATAAAATTTTAAATTAAAATAATTAATTTATGTGATATTTTAAATATAAATTATATTACTCTTTTTGTCCCATTAAAAGATTACAATTGTTCATTTTCGTCTGTCCCAAAACAAGGTTACCATTTTCTAATTTAGTAATTGTACTATCTACTTCACATAATAAATATTCTTTCAATTTACAATATATTATACAAATGTTATTACTTTTATATTACACCATACTAATAGGGGTATTTTTGTCTTTTTTACTATAATCCAATATAATACTAATATTCAAAATTCTACGTGCAAAAAATAAATATCACCCTTCCAACCGGACGGAGAGAGTATATTGTAACATAATAAATAAAAAGTAAATATTAAATTTAGTATTTTTATTTTGTTTGGAAACTTATAAAATAAAAACTAAAATATCACATACATCGTGTTAATATAGACTATAAAATAGTTTATAGTACTCCCTCCGTCCCATAACAAAGTATCCATTTTTTCATTTTAGTCCGTCCCATAACAAAGTATCAATTTCCTTTTTTAGTAACTGTACTATCTACCTAACATTATAAATATTCTTACAACTTATATATTACACAAATATCATTACTTTTATATCACACATATTAATAAGGTTATTTTAGTTATTTCTACTTTATTCATACTATATCTCAATATAATACTAATATTTTTAAAACTACGTGTAAAAAGCAAATGAATATTTAGTTCCAGGACGGAGGGAGTATTATATATAATTGTCTATATGCTTAATACGTTGGACCGATAAAATTTAATTTTTAAAAATTAAAATTGGAACATACTCAACCGATTATTTGATGATTGAAAATACGAGTCAATGAATCAAATTAATTAGATTAATTGAGATGACTCCATATTATATATTTATTTGATATGAGACTTGGCTATAAGATAATGACGTGTAATTAATTAATAATAATAAATTATAATATTATCTTATTATTTTATATATAATTAATAATATTGATAGTTTTAAAATAAATTTAATATATATAATTTAAAAAATTAAAATATTTATTTAAATATTTTAAATATTATATTGCAATAAAAATTCACGCAATATGAATATTATTTTATAGAAAATTATTTAGAAAATATTAAAATAATAAAGATATATAGTATACAAATATTTGTATATATGAAAAAAATATAGAAAAATGCACCCCAAAGTTTATTTAATTTGTATCTTAAACTATTTTTCAATAATTTAATTCGTGTTATTTTTAATAAAATACTCCTCCGTCCCAGTCAAGATGATCATTTTACTTAAGGATACAATATTTTAGACATCGTAGATTAGTAAATTATTAATAATAAGTTATGATATTATTTTATATTTTTATATGAGTAGTGTTGTTGGTATTTTAAATATTTTTAGCATTATAAATCAATAAAATATATACAATATGAATATAATTTTCTAGAGAATAAAATTTTATATAATACAAATAAATAAAAAATTAATTAATTTATTTATAATTAACTTAAAATTAATTTTATTAAAAATAAGAAATTTTAAATATAGACAAAAATATTTATTTATTAAAAAAAGATAAAAATAAAGAAGTTTTGAACGATGCTACGTGTAAAAAGTTATAAATTTAATTAAATTAATTTATATTTATTAAATATATTTAAGATGAATAAATTTATTAAAAATTAAAAAAAATTATCTTTAAATGGGACTAAAAGAAATAAAATTGGTCATCAATTGCTGGAGACGGAGAGAGTATTATATTAAAATATTATTTAAATAAAAAATAAAACAAACTAATCTTAAATGTTGTAAAGAAGTTTAAATCAGAGTGCCACTTGTAATTTCATAAATTTTAATTATATATTAAAAATTTATTAAAATAAACAACAAATACACATTGAATAAAACACGATAAATATGCATTGGGAAAATGAATTCACGTGGATAGTCATAGGATCCGTCCGCAGTCCCAAAGCCCCATCAAATCCGTACCCATATAGATTAAATAAATAAATAAATAAATAATCTGACATCTTCACCAACACCAACCGCACTGTCTATGGGATGACAATGGGTCGGGATGGGTCGGATCCGACCCGAATATATAGTTGGATCCGAATTCGAACCAGACCCGATGATATCCGGACTCGAGAATACTCAGATCCGATTCGAACAATACCTGATAGATCCGACAGATCCAATTTTTTCTTAATTCTTAAAATTTAATTTAAATTTAGACCTGAACCCGGACTCGATATATATTAAAATTTATATATCTTATTCAAAAATATTATAATAAATAGATAAATAAAACTAAAAATATATTTTTAATATAATCTATATTATTAAAAATTAATTTTTGCATATATATAACTAATATATTAGTAATACAGTATATTAATCCGATCCGGATCGGGTCCGAGTCCGGGTAAAGTCCACCCTTGGACCCGAGACCCGCCCTGAATCCGATAAAAGTACACAATACTGAATCCGGACCTGAATCCAATACTCGAATATTTTAACTTGATCCCAAATAAATGGGTCAGATCTTAGGTCTAGACCTATTGGCATCCCTAACTGTCTACAAGATAAATACTCTCTCCCCATAATATATTTTGCCAAATTACACTACCTACAAAAATTTAGGTAAAATTTAATAAGTAAGTAATTTAAAATATATTAATAAAAATAATTATATAGTAAATTAAAATAACTATGGTATGTTTCTTTAGATGAGTTTGAAAAAAAAAAAAAAAATTGTTTGCTTTGGTAATAAAATAATGTATGATAGGATGTTTTATGAGAAGAAAAAATGTATTTTTTTTTGGGGAAAAAGCAGAGTCCAAATAATAAAAATATGGAGTTTTAGGCAAAAGAAACATACCCTAAATAATTTAATTAAAATTTTAAAAATTAAAAATTATGAAATATAAAATATGGTTAAAGTATATAATTATATATCTTAAAAAAATAATAAATTATGTGGGACGAATCAATATAAAAAAAATGGACAATTTATATGAGCGAAGGAAATATGATTTAAGATGTGACAAATAGAGTATATTAATATAGAGCTAGCAATGAGTCGATTCGTGTCAGGTTAAATTACTCAATCCTAACCCTGACCTATTTATTATCGTGCTGGGTTCGTGTTGATCCTTATACATAATTACGTCGAATTTTTTTTATTCAAATTCAATTTTTCTTGTCGTGTTTGCGTGTTATGTTAGTTTTTATTAGTTCGAGTGTATGTATACAATGAATTAGATTAAATTATTTAAAATTGAATTTAGTTGAAATTAATATGTGGGCTAATTATTAATTTAGAATTGTTTTACATATATAATAAATATATTATTAATATATTATAATCGAGTTGTTGTGTCTGATTCGAGTTGAAAGCCCCAATCATAACTCGACCCGTTTATTATATTGTCCGTGGGCAACAACAAACGGAGGATGTGAAACTTGAACTCGAAATCTAAAACTCTGATATCATATAAGAATTTGAGGAAAATTATGAAATTGAATTATTAAAAAAAAATAGGTATAAAAAAAAAATATATATATATATATTAGTGGCTCTGACCTAAACTAAAATAAACAATACAAACTAGATATCTATATCTAACAGTTACATAATTATTTTTGTCAAGTAAAATTGTTAATAACTCCTTTATAGTTTTGAAATTTAGCGTAAAATCTCTCTATACTTTAAAAATTGCATGACACCCCTTTATATTTTAAAAAATGTTGCATGAAACCACACCACCATATAACCTCCCTTTTGTGACGAGGAAATAATTTTCTATCTATATGTCTTGCATAGCGGAGGTTTTATTCAATATTTTTGAAAGTATAAGGGGCTTGATGCAATTTTTTTAAAGTAAATTAGAGATTTATGTTGAATTTCAAAACCATAGAGAAGTTTCATACAATATTTTTTAAAATATAATAGAATGCTATCCAATTTTTAAAGTAAATAAGAGATTTACGCTGAGTTTTAAAATTACAAGAGAGTTACGAGCAATTTTGTATTATTTATTGTAGAATACTTTTGAATGGTACACACTAAAATAATTTTCCCTTCATCCCAAATAAAGTGTAATATTTGATTTTACATAGAAATTTTAAGTGAATAATATTAAATATGATAATTTAACAATTAAATGATCTGATAGAAAAAAAAATTAAATGAAATAACATGAAATATTAAGTATAATTAATTATTTATAATTTAAAAAATATTATAAAATACTTCAAACATACTTAAAAAAATAATACAACCAAAGGAATAAAAGATACTCTCACTAAAAAAGATTATATTTTTATTAATATATTAACTATATAATAATAATAATAATAATAATAATAATATTTTAATATATATTCTCCACCACTCATAATAATGTCACTTATACATAATAATAAATAATTTTATTATTTTTATTTTAACAAATAACATTTTTTTATTGTTTTTCAATTATTCCACTAATTTTAATTTGATCTTTTGTTTGATTAATTTAACATTAAAATAGTACTATTATTTATTATATCTAATTAAAATTAAATTTTTTTAATTTTTTTAATACGATTTTTAATATATATAATACATTCTTATAAAAATTAATATTTAATATAAAATATTATTTTTTTATATTATCAAGACAATTTTCTATATCTTAAATTTAAAACAATTTAAATCAAAATCCAAAATAAACAAACCTTATGTATTCCTTCCTATTATAAAATAAATGAGAATAGTTCTTGTAAACTAAAGAATAATTATATTTTTTTGATAAAAAATAATAATTATATTTTGAATTTTAAATCAATTTATAAGTATACATATGGAATAATCTAAAAATTCAAAATTTATAAAATATTTTCTCGTTCCGTCAATTTTTATTATTATTATCTTTTTTCTTCATTCTATATAATTTGTTTTTTTATTTTATTTTTAAATAAGTATATATAATATTATTTTAAATTTTATAATTTATAATTTTAATTAAATTGATTAGATATTTTAATTTTAATTTATAATTATTTTTACTAATTATATTTTACCTTATTTCTGTATCTAGGCGTAACACTTTTAGGGATGTGTGTGTTCGAGGATTTAAATTTTGATTTAGAATTTGAATAGTAAAAAAAATTGAATTTAAATAGTTTTATAATATAATATAAATTTATATTAATGTGGTATTTTGAACGATAAATTAATTTCTAATGCTATAATATACTCTCTTTGTCCAAATAGAATGTAAACCTTTAGTTTTGACGTAATATTTAAGAAATAATAATATTTTAATTATAATGATTAATTAAAAATAGTGTATTGACATTTTTGTTTTTATTTTTTGGTATAAAAGTAATGATGTAATATAAAATAAGGGTATTTGTAAAAAAAAATAATGTATTTAATAAAATATATATACTTTCTAACAAGAGGAATGGATAAAATATAAAAAATTAATGTTTAATTTGATATTTTTAAATAAAAAATTTAATAAATAGTAAAAAATTTGTAAAGTGTGATATATGAACACATCATTAGAATATCTCTTGCTGTCACTTTTCTTGTTATCTTTACGATTACTTTTTAGATTTTTACTATAATAACTAGAACTAGTTACCTTTTTTTATTATCTTTTAGAAGAGATACAATTATTTACTATTTATTACCTTTCTCAATACCTTCAAACAAAAAAAAAAAAAGTATTTAAATATTATTCAAAAAATTTTAAAATTTTAAAAATTTAACAAAAATTATCTAATATATGTTCATTTATTCAAAGGCTAAATTGTACAAAATCCACATGAAATTGCACCAAATCTCACATACTTCTAAAACTGCGGCAAATTCCCTCGTGGTTTCATAAACTTTGCGTCTAACACCCTCAATGGTCCTTATTTAACGGTATTTGACCTAAATGCCTCAAACTACAAATAAATTTTAGAATATCAATTTATAAACCCCTAAAATTACAAATATATATATATTTTTATATTTACCCTAAAAAAATAATAAATATACTAAAAAATAGCTATTTTCTGATGTTTTAAAAGTTTATTTTTACTATTTTTCAGCTAAATATATATAAAAAAATGTATTTGTAATTTTAGGTGTTTAGAAATTGAGATTCTAAAATTTATTCGCAGTTTGAACGCATTTAGGTCAAATATCGTTAAATAAGGACCGCTGAGGGGTTAGACGCAAAGTTTATGAAACAATGATGGAGTTTGACGCAGTTTTAGAAGTATGGAGGATTTGATGCAATTTCATGAAATCACAAATAGATTTTGTGCAATTTAGCTTTATTCAAATAATTTTAAACTTTAAAATAGTAAATTATACTCCCTGTCCCATATCTATATATCAATTTGTTTTTTGAACGAAGTTTTAAAAATATTAGTATTATATTAGAATAAAGTAGAAATAAAAGTAAAAAATATAAATTAACCCTATTAATATTGTATGATATAAAGGTAATGACATTCGTATAATATATTGTAAATTGGAAGGGTATTTGTAATGTTAGGTAGATAGTACAATTACTAAAAAAAAAGAAATTGATACTTTGTTATGGGACAGACCAAAATGAAAAAAATAGATAAATTGTTAAGTGACGGAGGAAGTATGTTTCAATATATTAAAATTTAAAAATTTAATATAATATTCCCTCTGTCCCGGAAGTATAGTCTTGGTTATATTTGACACGAGATTTAAGGAATATTGATGTTATATTGATAGTAAGTAAAAATTACGGGTAAAAGATTTTTTTTTCTATTATGAGTGTATTAGTGTAAAAAATAGTGACAATTGTGTAATTATAATAGAAAATAAAGATAATTTTATAGTGATATAGTTATTTATGGACAAAAATAGTAAATAAAGACTATTTTATTGCACGGAAGGGAGTATTATATAAAAATATTATTAGACAATAAAAATATATAGAAATAAATAATTTATATATTATGTAAAAAAATATATATAAAAATAAATAAATTAGTATGAATCCTATAAAATACTCCCTCCGTCCCATATATTGCGTCTGCTGCTACCGTATAATTAGTAAATAATTGAGAATGTATTAGTGAAAATAATTATCCTATAATATAAATAATTATAAATTAAGATTAGATTAAGATAAGTAATTAGTTTAATTAAAATAAAAAAAATAAATTAAAAAATTTAAAATGAGATTAAAGTGTGTAATTATTTTTTTTTAAAAAAGTGACATGAAATATTAGACGGAAAGAAACTGCAACGTGGACATGATATGAGAGACAAAGAAGTAGTATATATATAATGTATTGAAGGTGATTAATATAAAATAATTTAAACGGTAGAGATAACAAAATAGGAGTAATATCTACTACTGATGCTTTTAGGGTGTGTTTGTTCGGGGGATTGAATTTTATATCTACTATTCACCTCATTTTTTTCTCCAAAACATCAAATTAAATACCTATTTTTCATTTTTTATATTATACTAAAAATCAATTTTACATTTAAAATATCACATCAACACTTATTTATATCAAAACTATTCAAATTTAAAAATTTACTATTAAATCCAACTCAAAATCCAAACCCCAAAACAAATACACAGTCGACAATTTTATTGGGAGAGAGAATTGAAAATAGACATAATAAAATAATCGTAATGAAAATATTAATATCAAGATTTGGTGGGATCGGATTTCGATATTTGGTCGCCACGAACCTCCGCGTGTCTCTCTCTACATATGGCCACCATTTTCTGATTCACTCTCTACACCACACTAATTCCCTCGTTTCTTTCGTCGAATCGAAAGTCTTTGGATCTTCGCTAGCCCATTCTTCTTCTTCAAATCGTCTGCCGTTTCTGGGCCACAGCTGATGCAGCAAAAGGGGAGACTCTTCGATCGAAGGTCGCGCACATTTTCCAGATCTCGAGTCGCCATCGAGAACTCTTGATCTTCTTCTATCGCGGATTTCGGTACTCAATTCGCATCAGTTCCTCGCTTTCTTGCTGGTCTTACTCTTACTGCTGTCCGGTTACAATGGCTTCCATTCCAGGTTCTGCTCGATACTTTTGGATGTATTGTATTTCCCACTTTTTGTTTAATTGAAGTTAATTGTGTTCGTCGAGAGTGAACGAAATTTGTGATTTTGTACAGAGCAAGAGCGTGAGGTGCAAAAGAGTTACTGGACTGAGCATTCTGTTGATCTGACCTTGGAAGCTATGATGCTTGATTCAAAAGCAGCTGATCTTGACAAAGAAGATAGGCCTGAGGTATGATGTTGTTGAGATCTAGCCACACTCACACACATTTATATATATATCGTTAAATTCATCAGTACAGTAGAGCATCTGTTGATCTACTTGGTTTGCAATTTGTGTTTTGGAGTGTTTTTGAATGTTTTGTAGTGTTTGTGTTTTGGATTTGAAGATATTTTAATAAAAAATCTATTTTGGATATGGTGTTTCATATTGAGAAAGAGGTGATGTATTATTGGAAAAGAAGATCCAAAACACAACGTGTGTGTTTGGTTTGTGTTTGTGTTTGTATTTCAAGTTCGGGTTTTTTGATTAACATTTCTATGTTATACTTTTCTTTGGTTTTGACCCTAAAGCAATCAATCCATCCCTAACTATGGATCGAACTGGGGTAGGCAAAAGGTTAATTAATGTCAATCAGAGAGATGAAAGAAAGCAAAGGATTTGAGGCTTTTATCTTCTATATAGTATCTAGAAAGGGAACGACTGCTTTTATGAGTTTCCCTCTCCGGTGGTGGTGATCTCACTTTCGGAAGAGAGTTTCTTAGCGGCAGTCAACATTAGGCTCAACTAGAAAATATGTAAAAGAGATTTTTTTTTCTTTTTTATTTCCGTCACTTTGGCATATATCAAAAAAATAGTGACATTTTATTTCGTACAGCTTTGTCAAATTTTTGATTTTTTATGTAGCGACAGGCTCATATATATATATATGTATGTTTGTGTGTGTGTGTTTGTAAAATTTGAACATTCTAGTGTTGAGTGTAAGATTTGATTGGTTACGGTGGCTTGAACCCTCAATAGCCATGGATATAAATATGCACGCTTACGTCCCTGTTTTCGTGCTCTTAGCGGCTCATCTTGAGTACAGAATGTGTCCTTCTCTTTTTATATATGAAGATATTTTGTTTAAATACTGATTATAATGTATTTCCTTTGTGCTAAGGAATGAGCTTAAGCTTCCATAAATTCTCTATACATGCAAAACATATTTTAAATTTATTCCCATTAGTCTGGGTTTAGTTCCGATGTTGATCTGCCATATTTTGTCGGAACTTGTTTCATGTTAAAGAAAAAAAAAGAAAAATACCGATTGTTGGTTTAATACAACATCCTTAAATCACTGGAAAAATTGCATTTGGAAATCCTTTGTTCATCAGTTTTGGTATTGGTAACAGACCAGTTGTTTTAGCTTCATGCATTCTAGCAGCTAGTTTTCTCGAATCCCATACTTTTGTGTTGTAGTTATACTAGTGTTGATGTCCTTTTCTATATGAGAATGTACACCGTACTTTTCTCTTCAAGTTTGCCTGTAAAGTCAGTCGTGTTGGGATGTTAACTTGAGTGGTTGCGGATATACTGGAATCGACCTGATGCCTTATGTATTCCATTTTGTCGTTGTCTTAAATTAAATCAGGTTCTGTCTCTGCTCCCACCATATGAAGGAAAATCTGTTCTAGAACTGGGAGCTGGTATTGGCCGCTTCACCGGTGAATTAGCTAAACAAGCTGGCCAGCTTGTCGCTGTGGACTTCATTGAAAGCGTAATAAAAATGGTGCGGCTTTATCCTGAGGAGTTTGTGTTATGTCGGGTTTTATGGCTAAATTTTTCTCATATATGCATGCATTTAAGCCTTTACTTTTGCTCACTATACGTATGTGTACATTTCTTTTCTTACACAGAATGAAAGCATTAATGGGCATTTTAAAAATGTAAAATTTTTATGTGCTGATGCGGCGTCCTCAGAACTGGATTTCCCCGAGGGATCCTTAGACTTAATTTTTTCAAACTGGCTGTTGATGTATCTAGCAGACAATGAGGTAATTTTCAATCTTCGGGCAGTTTCTTCGCTCATTGCTTGCTATTTTATGCATCATTTGATTTCTAATTTATAATTTTGCCTTTGTTTGTAGGTTGAGGATCTTGCTGAGAGAATGCTGAAATGGTTAAAAGTTGGGGGCTACATTTTCTTTAGAGAATCATGTTTTCATCAGGCTGGAGATTTTAAGAGAAAGATCAATCCAACTCATTATCGTGAACCGAGATATTATACAAAGGTTCTATGCTTATACATATACATTTACTAATTTCCACTTGCTGCAACTTTGTATCATCCAAAATATGATGTCGTTTTCTGCGAGTAATACAACTTTCGTTAAATGAAGCTGGAACTTGAAGTTGTTCATTTACACTTTGTGTGTGCCTTAGTAAACTCTCTTAGAAGGCAAATATGAGTGTCTTACGGCTTCTTACTATGGAAAAAGTATATATATTTAATTTGAATGACTCTTGTGGGATTTTCTCTCTGATCATGCAATTGTAAATTTGTAATTCCTGAATTTGATTGTGCAGGTGTTTAAAGAGTCTCACGTTCAAGATAACTCTGGAAATTCATTTGAACTTGCTCTTTTGAGTTGCAAGTGCATTGGAGCTTATGTTAAAAACAAAAAGAATCAGAATCAGGTATCGAGGTTTTGTGCTTTCTGCTAAAATTCATTATTTCCTTATTTCTTATGCATTGTTGTCGTTCTTTTTGTTTTCATTACCTTAAAAACTTGGGGCAGTCAGAGATTTTCTTGGTGTTTACTATATATTTCATCCGAAGTTAATACCATTGATCAAATGGTACTCTGTGCTCAATTTGAGTAATTTTTTTTGTAAAAAACATATGGTTTTGTATAAACCGTGTGTACACTAATTTTGCAGATCTGCTGGGTCTGGCAAAAGGTTGGCTCAGATGAGGATAGAGGATTCCAAAATTTTTTGGATACTGTTCAATATAAAAGCAATGGCATATTGCGCTACGAACGTGTCTTTGGGAATGGATTTGTGAGCACTGGAGGGCTTGGTATGTATTGCTAATTGCAGTTTCGACCACAATGGATTATCTGTTTTACCGAACCAGGTTAAAATGTTCCATAACCATGCTGTAAAAGTCGAAACAATCTTTATCCACAATACAAAGTTTGCTCAGTTATGAAGTGTTACAGATTCTTATTGCTTGAAGTTTAAAGCACCCTAAAAATGTCATATTTTCGGTTATGTATCCAGATTATACTTTTTCTTTTCTTTTTTTGAACAGTAACGACGAAAGAGTTTGTAGCTAAACTCGATCTCCAACCTGGCCAAAAAGTCCTGGACGTAGGATGTGGCATCGGAGGTGGTGATTTCTACATGGCAAAAAATTACGATGTTCATGTCGTTGGCATTGATCTCTCGGTCAATATGATATCTTTTGCTATCGAGCGTGCAATCAGTCTCGACTGTGCTGTTGAGTTTGAGGTTGCTGATTGTACCAAGAAAGAATACCCTGACAGTACATTCGATGTGATCTATAGCCGCGACACGATTCTTCATATTCAAGTAAGCATTCTTGATAATTCACTTCTACATTTTGCATGCTCTGCTCCCCAAAAAAGAAATGAAAATTTTTATGAAAAAATATGCAAAAAAATTTAACGGTTTTGAATTAACATTTTTCGACTTTCCCTTCCCACTTTTATGGATTTATTTCCAGGACAAGCCAGCATTATTCAGATCATTCTACAAGTGGTTGAAATGTGGAGGCAAAGTTCTTATATCTGACTATTGTAGAAGTGCTGGAACTCCATCACCTGATTTCGAGAAGTACATTAAGCAAAGGGGTTATGATCTGCACGACGTAAATGCTTACGGCCAGGTGTGTTTAAAAAACAAGAGATGTCGCCTAAATTTACACTCCGGCAACATCAAATACGTTCATTATGCATAACTGAACTCTTTTGTGTGCAGATGCTCAAAGATGCTGGCTTCGACGAGGTCATTGCTGAGGACCGAACCGAGCAGGTGCTTCTTGTCTCATTTCTTTGTTGCTGTGTCGCTAATTCGTTCTTATTGTAACAAAGATCGATGCTTTTTGTTTTCCAGTTCATTCAAGTTCTTGAGAAGGAATTGGATGCCATTGAAAAGGACAAGGAACATTTTATAAAAGACTTCTCCGAAGTGTGTATTCGTTTACCTATGCTTGATTATTTATTTTTTTATTTTGGTAAAATTGCTCATAAATCCCCTTAGGTTTCAAAATTCAGCTTTGTATTTTAAAAATTGCATAGCACCCCCTTATACTTTAAAAAACGTTGCATGAAACTCCACTACCATGAAATCTTCCTTGTGTGATGAGAACATGATTTTCTATCTGTTTGTTTTATATAGTAGGGGGTTTCATGCAGTATTTTTGAAAGTATAAGGGGCATAATGCAATTTTTTAAAGTAAAATTAGGATTTACATTGAGTTTCGAAACCATATAGGAGTTTCATGCAATATTTTTTAAAGTATTAGGAGCAGGAGCGCCATGTAATTTTTTAAGTAAAGGGGGATTTACGCTGAGTTTCGAAACCACAAAGAAGTTATGGGCAATTTGTATATCGCAGAATCTCTCTAAATTCTGTTCCTGTGGTTTTTGCAGGAGGACTATAATGATATAGTCGGGGGCTGGAAGGCTAAGCTTAAAAGGAGCTCGTTGGGGGAGCAGAGGTGGGGTTTGTTCATTGCCAGAAAAAAGTGAATTCTGCTCGAGAACATCGATATTGGTTTGAATAAGATTTTCGAGGTTTGCTTTCGAAAAATTCCCAGTTTGTGTGTAATTCAATCAAGGTGATGCCTGTGACAGCGATGATTTCAATTCCTGTTGTGTTTGCTGAACGAGACGTTCTGTTTTGATTTTTACAACTTGTGCGCGCGTACTCTTGTTTTTTCGTGGCTATACTTGTGTTTCTAAGTGATGGTTTATTTATTTATCTTTTTTCATGGTGATACTTTTTTTTTTTTTTTAACGTTGTTTGTAGTGATTGTGTGAACTATTATCATATGCTGTGGTGATACTTGTTAAGTGATAGTTGTAGTATTTCTGTGGGCTTTCTGTGCTAAGGATCGGTAATTTGCACAACTATATAGTTTTGCTACATGTGGATCTTCTTGCTCGATTATTTAGTAATGAATTCATCGTATCAGTCTTTAATGCATTTAGTTTAGGATCAAGCAGCTAAAGAACATTAGGGCAGTAAACATTGAATTTTGTTGAACTTTAATAGTTGAGAAAACAAAACAAATTAGTTGCTATAATGGTTCGAAAAACCACTAAAGAGGTTGAAGGGGATTGTATTAAGATAACTATTGAAACCTCTACCAAAGAAAAAAGAAAAAAAAAGTAGGGAAAGTGAATAAATGCATTGCCATTTTTTTTCCTTTTGAGAATGTCATTTCCTTCAATACTTGCAAATCAAGAAGTTGCGAAGTTATGATTGAAATTATTGGACTATAAGGGGTTGGTCTAACACCTATTAGTTATTATGAGTTGAAATGATTACCCTTTTAGAATATCGTAGTCGACACAAATAAGTTGAAAGAAAAGCACAGCACATAGGGTGTGTTTCTTTTAGTGTTTGGTTTGGGTACAAATAAGTTGAAAGAAAAGCACATAGGGTGTGTTTCTTTTAGTGTTTGGTTTGGGTTTTATATTGTGCTGGTACTATAAGTGGAAAATATATCGTTTTGATGCAACTTTGCATTGTTAAATGATGAGTTAAGCGAAGAAGTATATGTGAGCCAACCACTAAGATTTGACAGCATTACCGGAAAATATAAAGTTTTGTCTATGCGAAAAAGTTATTTATGGGCTTAAGCAAGTTCTTTGTGTTTGGTACAACAATATTAACGAGTTCTTACGTATGAACGGGTTTGAAAGAAGTATTAACGAGCTAACATCGGATGTAAAAAGGCAAGGTATAATTGGCTTACTCCTAGTAAATCTTTATGTTGATGATATGATTTATGCCAGTTCATAATCATATCCCTAGCTTATACAGTTTAACATCAATTAAAGAAATGTTTGAAATGAATGATTTGGGAAAGCACAACCATTTTGTGAGCTCAAGGAAACAATTTACACTTCTACACGGGTTCTTTTAGTATGTTTATATTTTACTTAAATGCTTTCTAGGAGACTTCTTTAAGTGGATCTTTCGAAAAAAAAAAAAAAAAACATAATGACATAAGTAGCCTACTTAATCAATTTAATCTCTTATTCAACATCGAGTATATTACGTACTCTCCGACTCATATCACTATTCAACTCCAGAAATATTACATGTTATAAAGCATGACAACAAGACAATCATACTATTACCAAATGACAACAAGACAATCATACTATTACCAAATGTCTGAAAATTACAATCAAACAAAACACATTGACATCAAACAATTGCGAATGATAAAATTCAAGTATATATATATATATATTTTTGTCAATAATTCGACTTGACTCGAACATATGTAAAACTAGTTAATTCTATTTTTTACATACGCTAGGTTTTCCCTTTTTCTTATTTTCAAACTTGATTTGATTCTTAATAAATATAAAAGGGTAAATTAGAGTGTTCTTATTTATTACGTGAAATTTCCTTGTGTTAATGGAAAGTTTGCATGAACATCCTCTTTGTCCAAAATTGTTGTTTGGTTCGAAATAAAGACCTAAACTACGTAAATTTTATACAAATAAAAAACGTAAAATATTTTAAATAATTTTTTTTGAATAAAATAAATAAATAAATAATTGATCAATTATTTATTTTTATAATTTTTATAAAAATCAGACAACAATTTGTCTCCAAAAATTATAAAACGAAGGATTAATAAATTATTTATTTATTTAATGCAAAAAAAATTATTTAAGATATTTTGCGCTTTTTATTTGTATAAAACTTACGTATGTATTTAAAACTAAATATCAGTTTTGAACAAGAAGGGTATTTCGTGAAAACTTTAAATTGACACAAGGGGTTTCACGCAATAAATAAAACACAAAGTATTTTCTGTATTTTTACTAAAATATAAGATGGTGTTATATAATTTACCCAATATAAAAAGATTTCATTCCATAACGAATCTTATACGATAGCAATATACCAACTATATCACTATGCGTAAATTTATATTGTTATTGTATTATAATACGATATCATATCGGATGAAAAAATTACAGTATGTTATAAATTATATATTTTTTATATTTCCGTTTCAATCAATGGTATTATTTTTACGATTATCGTATATTCTATTCAAAAAATACATTTTCTATTATAGTAAAAGTAATACTAATACAAAAATATAATATTTTTTACTAAATTACAAACATACTATTACACATATATAAAATTAAATGACAAAAATATCAAAATTATTTAAATACTTTCACTAATTAATAAATATTACTCCCTCCGTCAACTAATAAATTTTTCATCTGTCATTTTATTTTGTTTAAATCAAAATTTCTCATTTTTTTGAAAAAGTAACTTTCAATTAAATACCAAAATACTATTACTTTTTACTTTTTTACGTTACTTTTCAAGGGTAAAATGGATATTAATCCCCCCGTCCCACTTAATTTGTTTACTCTTTCCATATCCGTCCGTCCCACATAAATTTCCTCTTTTTTTTTTTTTTTTTTTTTTAAAATATGATTATACAATTTAATCACATTTTAAAATTCATAATTCATAATTTTTTTTTTAAACTATTCTTAATCTTAATCTATAATTATTTTATTATATTATAATTATTTTATCTAATACACTTTTTAATTATTTATTAATTACATAATGACTAAAATTCCGTGTCTCAGCTAAAGTGGACAAATTAGCCGGAACGGAGAAAGTATATTACTTTATTACACTATATATATTTATAAGATACTAATTTATCTTGATCCGCGTGTAAAAATCAAATAAAAATTTACTAATGGATAAAGAGGGTATTATCTTTTAATTTATTACAAAAATTCAAAAAGATCTATTGAAGTGGAATGAAATAAGTATTTTTTTTTATACTATTTCTGTTTCAATTCAAAGTAAACTTTTTTGTCATTTTTGTATGTGCAATTTCAAAGTATCAATTTCAAGAAAAAATAATCATACACTAATATCAAAGTACCTATAATATTTACATAAATTACAAATATAGCATTAACATACAATTACTTTATATATAAAATCAAAGATACAAATGTCAAATTTCGCTGACCACTCAAATAGTATTATTTCTTAATATAGTAGCACAAAATTCCAAAGAGTCTATTTCAAATACTATAAAATTAAAGCTTGAAAAAAAAAAATTCTTAAATGATGAGGTAATAATGATAATGGAAGAGAAAACTAGTAGTAAATAAGTGCATGTATATGTATATATGGAGTGAGAAGATGTGTGGTAGATATAATAGGGTGTGTTTGTTTTAATTTTGGTTTGAAATTTGTTTTTTTTTTATTAGAAATATAAAAAATTGTGTAAATAATATAAAAATAATAAGTGTGTAATATATTGATTGATTCGAAGTATTTCACAAAATAAACACATTACACATTCAATTTATCAAAAATAAATTTCTCTCTTCATTAATTCATTCGTATACTTATCAAAATATCTATATTTTATGTCACAATTAACTAATATAGTATTATATTTATTAAAACTCGTGTCCAATCCAAATAGACATATTTAATAAATAGAGAGAGTACTATCTATTTTACACACTTTTTAATAAAATATAATATTATTTTATTTTCATAAAATATTATCTCATTAGTTTCAATTCAAATTATTATTTTTACTACTCCCTCCATCCTATTGAAAGAGTGACGTTTATTTTTTGTACGTAAATTTTTGAATATTAGTATTATATTAGATTGTAATTAAAAAAAAGAAGACAAAATAACCCATATTAGTATTGTTTAATATAAAAGTAATGTTGTTTGTGTAATATATTGTAAGTTGAAAAGATATTTATTATATTAAGTAAGTAGTACAATTAGAAAATTAGAAAATGGTAACCTTATTTTGGGACGAACGTAAATAAAAAATGACAATCTTTTAATTGGACGAAGAGAGTATTTTCGTATGTCTCACCTCAAAATATTTTTTTTCTTATTTTAGTAAAAATAATTATATACTATTACCAAAATAATCATAACTTTTTACTTAAATTACAAAAATACTATTATTACACGTACAATTAATTTGTGCATAAAGTCAAAAAGTAAAAATGTCAAAACCTCTTACACATCTTTATTAACTAATAAAATATTATTACTGCTTTTTAATCTAATATTCCCTCAATCCCTTAACAATCTATTTGTTTTTCTATTTTGGTCTGTCCATAACAAAGTATCAATTTTCTTTTTTAGTAACTGTACTATCTACCTAACATTACAAATACCCATACAACTTACAATATATTACACAAATGTCAATATCTTTATATCACACAATACTAATAAGGTTATTTTAGTAATTTCTACTTTATTCCTATTATATCTCAATATAATACTAATATTTTTAAAACTCCGTACAAAAAGCAAACAGATACATAGATATGAGACGTAAGGAGTACAAAATTCTGAAAAAACCATTTAGAATGGGACAAAAAAATTATACTCCCTCAATCACAATTATTTGTCCACTTTAGTTGGGGCGCAGAGTTTTAGGTATGATATAATTAGTATTTAATTAAGAAATATATCAGTAAAAATAATTATAGATTAAGATTAAGATGTCTAAATTGTTTAATTAAAATAAAAAAATTATAAATTATAAATTTTAAAATATGATTAAAGTATATAATTATATATTTTTTTATTAAAAAAAATAATTTATACGGAACAAACGAATATGAAAAAATTGTACAACTGGAATGTAAACGTATTAAAATATTATTTAAATAAAAATTTAAATATATTTCAAATTACAATGAAAAA